CTGGATGCATTCTGCTATAATCTGAGGTACGAATTGGCTTAACAACCTCTCAGATTTTCTGAAGAGTCAAACAGTCCTCGTCCAATTTAGTGTCTTAGCTTACTGGATTGTAGGGTAGGATGGATTGGACTTGGGTAGTTGATCTGAAACTTTGCTTTTATAGGTTTAAAATTGGGATATACAAATTTGGGTTTTATAGTTTAGTTTCTTTTCTATATGTACAAATTTGTGCGACTATTTGTTTTAGTTAGTTATTTATTTTTACTTTACTTTTCTTTGTAAATGTGCGATTAATACTATAATAAAATACTGTTAGCATATAAAATGTGAGTTGTTTCTCATTTTTAAAATTTTGTTGGTCCTTCCATCTCTCCCTTTAATTCTCTCTTTTCCCTTCCTGCACGATGGTAAAAAAGATATTCTCCTTTACAACAATTTCATGAATCCTTATATGCCTCTGTTATGTCACCTATTTCTGTTTTGGAATTACGTGATGTTATAATAGCCTCTCCTACACACAAAGCTCCTGGTCCTTCATCTATCCCTTACGAATGGTTTAAGTTACTTTCTGATACCTCTCTGCAATTTTTCTATGGACTTATGAACCGATGTCTCGATCTCTTTGATATACCTAAAGATTGGCATTTAGCTTCTATTGCCCCTATTCCCAAACCTCATGAATTCGATGCATTATTAAAGAATACCCGACCGATTACTTTATTGGAAACTGCCCGTAAATTATTAGTCAAAATTGTGAATAATAGGCTCTCCAATATCTTATCCTCTCATCACGTATTTCAAGGCAATAATTTTGCTGGTTTACCTAGTTCTTCAGTCAACATCCTGATTAATGTATTGGATGGTATTATCAAAAGTCATACAGTGCATACAATTTAGTCCCAGCAATTAAATTTGATGAAATTTAAATCACTACTATTCATTCAAAAAAAAAGATAAACATAAAGTATAAACGTACAATGATAAACCAAATTAAGCTTAATAAAACTATGTTTTTAAATTTCCTGTAAAGTATTTTTTAATAAAGTAGTAGCAATTCAAAGTTAAAATATTTTACTATTAAATTAAATATTTGGCCGTTTTATTTTAACCAGAATTACATGTAAGTCTGGCCAAAATTACTTTCGTTTAATTATTAACTATGTAAATTTGGCTAGAATTAAGAATTATAACTTAAATTAAATAAATTTGACCAATAAAATTACAGGATTAATATTACATAATGTAAAAAATTTGGCCGCTTAAAAATTTTTTTGTTGGGACTAGGTTGTATGCACTGTAGACTCTCTCGTTCTTCACAAGAACTTTGGATTTTAAGTCAGGATATTTCCAAGGCTTTTGACTCTATCGACTTACGAATGTTGCGTCTAGTCTTTAACCGTTTGCGGTTTTCTAACATGTCATCTAACTTTATTATTAGTTTATTTACCAATAGGAAAAATTAAATTTTTACGCCTTATGGTCTTACTTCGCCATATAATGTTCTTATAGGGATCGATCAAAAAGAAGTTATTTCTCCGCTTCTATGGACTATATATTTTGATCCATTGCTCACAGAATTGGCAGATTCTGCTATTTCTTCATATTTATGGTCCTCAAATATATCCCAAGATATACTTGCTCTTAATAACAATGAACGAATGGATCCTATTAGGACCTCGGAAAATACTTATATAAGTAAGGTCCCAAAAATATTTTTTATTAGTAGCTCTAAGCATAGGTTTTTACTATGATCGCTAAGCATTGTTGATATCTAACTTTAAAAATTATATAAAAATAAGCAAATCAATTTTCTAACCTAATTAAATTTTTATTATAACACATAATTTATAAAATATATTTATTAATTAATATATTTTATTAAATCCAATTTTAAATATGATCAATACATTGTGAAGCTAAACTAAACATAATATACNTACAGTGCATACAATTTAGTCCCAGCAATTAAATTTGATGAAATTTAAATCACTACTATTCATTCAAAAAAAAAGATAAACATAAAGTATAAACGTACAATGATAAACCAAATTAAGCTTAATAAAACTATGTTTTTAAATTTCCTGTAAAGTATTTTTTAATAAAGTAGTAGCAATTCAAAGTTAAAATATTTTACTATTAAATTAAATATTTGGCCGTTTTATTATAACCAGAATTACATATAAGTCTGGCCAAAATTACTTTCGTTTAATTATTAACTATGTAAATTTGGCTAGAATTAAGAATTATAACTTAAATTAAATAAATTTGACCAATAAAATTACAGGATTAATATTACATAATGTAAAAAATTTGGCCGCTTAAAAATTTTTTTGTTGGGACTAGGTTGTATGCACTGTAGACTCTCTCGTTCTTCACAAGAACTTTGGATTTTAAGTCAGGATATTTCCAAGGCTTTTGACTCTATCGACTTACGAATGTTGCGTCTAGTCTTTAACCGTTTGCGGTTTTCTAACATGTCATCTAACTTTATTATTAGTTTATTTACCAATAGGAAAAATTAAATTTTTACGCCTTATGGTCTTACTTCGCCATATAATGTTCTTATAGGGATCGATCAAAAAGAAGTTATTTCTCCGCTTCTATGGACTATATATTTTGATCCATTGCTCACAGAATTGGCAGATTCTGCTATTTCTTCATATTTATGGTCCTCAAATATATCCCAAGATATACTTGCTCTTAATAACAATGAACGAATGGATCCTATTAGGACCTCGGAAAATACTTATATAAGTAAGGTCCCAAAAATATTTTTTATTAGTAGCTCTAAGCATAGGTTTTTACTATGATCGCTAAGCATTGTTGATATCTAACTTTAAAAATTATATAAAAATAAGCAAATCAATTTTCTAACCTAATTAAATTTTTATTATAACACATAATTTATAAAATATATTTATTAATTAATATATTTTATTAAATCCAATTTTAAATATGATCAATACATTGTGAAGCTAAACTAAACATAATATACAAGTAGATTAACAATATTCAATTTAAACAGTAAAAGAAAAATTCAAAATTAATACTATTACATATTACAAAAAAATGTAAATTTCTCCATAAGTATTATACTTACACCCATAAAAATTAATATGTAGGTAGTTTCGACCTTGCTGAACAATTTTCAATTAATTTAGAAAGTCGATTTCATTTGACTGAAGTGGTATAATTACGCTCTGAAGTTATAAACGAAAAAGTGAAAAATTTAAAAGTTATTACCGTTAAAAAAAATATGCTTTTCTATATAAATATTATACTTAGCCTTATGAAAATTAAAATACAAGTAGATTTAACTTGCTGAACAAACTTACTTAAGCATAAAAGATAATTTGATATAACCAAAGTGGTGAGTAGTGAAATTATATTTTAAAGTAAAACATATTTATAGTAATTTTATTTAACAAAATAAACATGTATAATATAGTAATTTTATATTGAAAATAATACACTGAGTTTAATAAAAATTAAAAAGTTACTATTGACAGATAATTAATAAAACATTGAAAAAAAAAAATGAAATTTTATCAAAAAAAAATTTGTTTATGTATTAAAAGTTTATAGAATAATATATTTCTTAATATATAGTATATATGCAAAATTTAGTTTTAATGTAAACAGAATTGATATTTTATTATTACAGCAGAAAATCATTGTCTTTAATTTAAAGATTTAGTATTATTAACTATTTTTAAACTTTATAAATTGATCAAATAATAAGAAGGTTAATATAATTAATATTTTTAGTTTTTAATTATTATTAATCTTAAAAATCTAAATATCTTTCATAATTTAAATGCATTTTGTTAAGAGTGGAAGAATTTTGTAAAAATTGTAGAGAGATTAAATTAAATTTAATTAGTTTATTTTAATACTATAATGGTAATACAAGCATAATAAAAAACATTACTTTATTTTTAGATATAAAAAGTGAAGAACTAAATATTTAAGATTAAGGTTGCTTGTCTAAACCTCTTCAAAATCCTACGATTAGTTTTGTCAAAATTTTAATATAGATTTATTATAGTTTCAGTAGAGTTTTGGCAGTTTTGGCATTTATAATAAGTTTTGGCAGTTTCACCTTTCTCCAAAATTTCGCCAGTTTTTTAATATAACTTTAATATAGTTTCGGCAGAATTTCGCTTTTTGGCGAAACGTCATCTTACCTAAACCCCTAGGTTTCAGCAAGCAACCTTATTTAAGATAAAGCCAAATTGATGCTAAACTGGATTCTATCTATTAAATCCAAATCCTATCCAATAATACATATATAAAGTACTTTTTAATATGACGTATCACATATGAGTAGTAAGAATACTTATTAAAACTATTTTTCAAAATTTTAGTTTAATTAAAATTCAATCTGAAACTATTTTTTATAATAAAATTAATTTAATATAATTAACTATCATTAGTGTTGCTACCTAAAATTCATTTAATAATAAAATTCAAAAACCCAAAACTTAAAAACTTTATTTATGAAAAATTGGTAAATCTGAAACTTTTCTAAATTAAAAACAGTTTGGATAAGGGTTGTTAAAATGGTCTTTTATTTGTATTCTTTTTTTAATAATTAAAATTAACTAAATGTAAATAATGAAATAAAGTACTATAAAAAAACAATTTTAATAATTTTATTATAATAAAATTCACTAATTTATTTAATACAGAAATACAAATCAAAATATTTAGAAATTTGCCAATTAAAAATAACCTTATTTATTATATTTACTACAGTATAAATAAAAAAAATTCAGAAAACTAAGATAATAATATATTAAAATAGAATTTTAACTATTAATCCAATAAAATATTCTGTGATATAATTGGTCACAAGTATTATAATCACGTGATTAATAATGATTTTGTAATATATACTTTGTTTACTAACATAGCTGTGTACATCAATAAAAACTTTTCCTAATTTCCATTGTTATTACGAGAATTTAACGTTACAATAAAATTATTAATACATAATAATGGATAAGGAAAAAGAATTGGAAGAAATTTTTGGAAACGACGCAGATGAGCTGTCCGACGTCTTGGAAGATTATTCCGATTTCGATAACGCAAGTTCTGAGGACGATGTAAAGAAACAGCCTGCAAAGTTAAAACAAAAAAGGTCTCCATTACGACATACTCCGGAAAGAGACAGAGATGATGAGGAATATGTTCCTGTACCTTTAAATAAAAGACGTAGGAAAACAAATGAATCTCGAAAACGACGAAAACGCCATGAAAGGATAGAAAATGCGGGTGATCTAGATGATGATGAATCAGGAAATGTTGAACCCTCCTTAGCACCGTTAATGGCGTCCAAAGCCTTTGTTGATCGTGATTTTGATGAGATTCTACCAAAAAGAAAAGGCCGATCAAAGAAGAATGATATTGAACTTGATAAAATGTATGATGAGCAGGCTTCAAAAGTTTATCAGCGAATGATGGAAGCTGGTGAAAAAGATATATCTCAAAATGCCCGAGGAGCTCATTCATCCGAAAAAAATCAAGTTCAATCGTGGGTTATGGACAAATTGGAAAAAGCGTACCTTAGAGAATCATTATTAGAACACAATATATTGGATGCAATTAAATTGTGGCTTGAACCGTTACCAGATCGATCATTACCAAGTCATAATATTCAAGAAGATTTATTAAAATCATTAAATGATGTAAGTTTTAACTTTAAAAAAGAATTTTTAAAAAACAGTGTCCTTTTAAAAATTAACGTGCTTTTTTTTTATAGTTCAACATCACGACTGATCACTTATTAAGTTCTAAAGTTGGTCGTATCGTATATTTTTACACAAAAAGTCCTCGTATAAACATAAATATTCAAAGACAGGCACAGCAATTGGTTGATAAATGGGCTGGACCAATCAATGGAGAATCAAGTAATTATAGGGAAAAGATTATGAGAATGGTCCATGAAGCAAATTCGTGAGTATTTATTAGTGGAGTGATTACGTTTTATATATATGTATAATTCTTATATTTATATTTTTTTTATAGTGGAGCACCTTTACCAGTTGCTGGTACATTTGACACGATCCCAACGATTCGTAGCGGTAAGCGTGACGACCCTTACAAGAACATAAAAAAGACAATGGCTCGATTGAAGCGTACTGGAAAAAATATGAAATAAAAGAAAATTTTCGCTAAATTTCACGTTGAATATATCACGATCGTAAAAGGGAGTAAGTAAGGAAATTTAATTTTGTGATTACATTTCTGTATTCATGACTCAAAAATATTTCAAAAGCACCTAAACATTTTTTTTTTTTTTTTAAAAAAAAAAAAAAGAAGAGCGTGATGGGTAGTTAAGTGCCTTCTGTAAGGATTTGCGATTCATGAAATTATTTTTATTATTTTCAATATTGCGAGTATAAACTTCAATTTTCAATCTTGTCAAAAGAAAGAATCGTATGAATAATGTTAATGAACTGGGTGACAGACAATATGTGTAACTTATTTGATTTATAAAATTCATTAATGCACCTATTTTAATGAATCAATATTCTGTGTCAAACAACCCTTAAATCTTAAAATGAATTTTTACATTTTTTATCAATCGATCAATTATATGATTGAACAAAAATTTGTAATGATCAGGACATAAATAATAAAAAAACGCGTATAAGTTTAGTTTCACTGAGATTTACAATAATCATTCCTTTTTTGAACTTTCGTTGACGATCAATATGAAAGTAGCACATAGAAAACCAATAAATAAATATATAAATGAAATAATTGAAATATGTTAATTTTATTAAAATATTATACAAGTGTATATAATCTAATCTCAGAAAAATAATGTTATCACATAATGAAATCTAGAAACGTTTAAAGAAACAATAATGAAATAAATATTAATAAATAATAATTTAATTGAATTAATTAATTCATTATTAATGGTTTCTTTTAAAATATAAAGGACTTGGCGCAAAAAAGAGAAAATACGCGGGAAATTTTTTATTTTAAGTGAATTAGTTCCATTATTATAAGGTGAGCGTGTGTGAATCATTTGAACGATTCTCATTTTAAAATGTAAATTTGTATTTACGACAAGCGATTTAATGACGTGATTTTAAATTGCAGTTTGATATTTTTTTTTAGTATTATATTTTTTGTTTTTTATTTCTCTTTTTTTTTTTTTTAACTTCCAGTTTCAAGGTCAAAGATTTATGTTAGAGGAAAACTCCACCNACATTATATTGATTATTAATTAATAAACAAAATTAGGATAATTACATGATAAATGAATGGGAGATAAGATAAAAAAAACGAGATGGTTTTTTTAGAATACTTTCAAGTGAGAGGTTACGCGATCATTAGATTATCGCATAATTTTTTGACAGAACAAATAATCTCACATAAGCACATAAGCCAAATGAAGCCAGGTGATCAAAAATTTGGCACATTGTTTATCATTTTCATATTTCTTAATTGAGACGCTATTTTAACATTTATAATATATATATTATAAATTATATGATATTTTAATCCAAGAAATATAATATATATTTGATATTTTACTGGAATTTGTCATTAATGAATCATCAGCAGATTATTTATTTATTACATATTTATTATTCAAGGCGCATACAGGCACATGAATTTTTTCGGATTAAACTTTACTTTATTCTGGCATTTTTCTTTATTTTCTTTATTTCTTTCTTTATTTTTTTTTGCTTTAACAGGACTTGATTGAAATGCGAGAGCGGACAATGATCCATGTAAGGTGATGCGCGATGATTTCTTTGTTCTGGAAATCAAATTTCAAATTTCAACATAAGGTGAAATCAGCTGTTATACATTAATAACCTTAAGTCAAAGAACAAAAGAACTATAATTTGAACCTAGATGGTTACGATTGTTTGTTCGTATTGTATTGTGAAATTTGTTTTTCGTTGATTTAAATCATTTTAAAGATAATCTCATTTATCATCACCGATGATAAATGATAGGAATGATAGGAATCCTTCTAAATAAAAAAGATCTTTCTTTAATGAATGTTATTTTTTATTGTAATAATGGGGATCTTTTATAAAAAAAAAAGATTATTCTTTTTTTTCTTTTGTTCTTATCTACATGCATTTTTTTGATCTTTGATCAAGAGGATTGATTAATCAAGAAGGGGAATCCTGCCTTAAAATTATCATATGAAAAGAAATGATGAAATGAGAGCTATGAACTAGTACGTGACTATCATCTAGAAGTGATAAATAACGTGTTGTTCATTATATGGAGACACGAGAAAATATTTTTAGTACTTTACCAATTTGAGAAAAAAGGCGTCAGGACATTATTTTAGAATTGAAAATTATTGTACCGTAATCTTCGCTACGCGTAAAAATTTTCTTAATATATATATATATATATATACATAATATATATATAATATTACATTCTCTTCAAAAACGAAGTGACGTGATTTATTGATTTAAATTAGTATCTAGAGATAATACCGATAATACTATCACAGTAATTTTACTACGCCTCAATCTTCTTTATTCTTTATGGCGCAGTAAATTGTAGACAATATCAAAATTGTACTATTCAATAAACAATTTTCATTATAAAAAAGATTGTTTTTTAAAGATAAATAAAAAAAAAAAAAATATTCGCTACTATACAATATATACAATATATACAATAGAAATCATTGTTCAAAACAAAAATAAATAAATAAATAAATAAATAAAAAATGCACTCAATGATATTCCACCTCTGGATCTAGGATACTATAATCGATAACTCATTCATTAAAGAATGTATCTCCCCCAGTTCGTATGAATCAAAATGACCGATTTGGATCAATCCGCCACATTCGTACATTCATACATATGCGATTATGGCCACAAAAACTTTAACGCGAAATTAATAAAACTATAAAAATCGATCAACTCTTTCTATTTCCTCATATGAATTTTTCTCAAGTACAGTATATAAAGACTCATTTATTTTACTTACCGTATTCATAAAATACTTTGACCATAAAAGATATGCTGCATATTGCTTTTTGGAAATATAAATTTTTTGATATATACCGATTTTCCTGATATTTGCTAATGATATCCAGGCGGATCAGTCACGAAAAGCAACTTTTAATTCAGAATTCCCGTTATATAATTAGTTAACAATATTACATGTATATATATATATATATATATATATATACATATTTATACATATTTTTTTACTCATAAAATGAAACATTTAGCGTATGAAAGGGTTGATTTTTATTTCGCAGATCATCAAAATAATTAATATTAATTTGCGGGGAATCAAAACTCTAACCTCTAATAAGTTAAGTCACTTAAAATAAGCGTTACTAAAGTTACTAAAAATTTTTACCATTATCGTGACTTTTTACGTCAAAGAAATCGTGTCCAACTAGTAATACCATTTTTTTAACGTCAAATCTTTAATTGGAACACACTTTTGACTATTACATTTGCGTATGGTTAGATTTTCCTCTGTGTTAAATTTTATCCAATCTTACACAGAAATTTCTTATCGTAAGTATTTTTATTACGATAAAAATACAATCTTCTAAGAATACTTTTTGAAGAACTCATCAAAATATAAAATTATAAATATAATTTGGAAGATTCTTGAAACGTCCAGTAAGAAATTAAAAAAAAAGGGGTAAGAAAAAGTTTGATGCGCTGATAATTCATAATTTTAATCATCTTTTATCGTCTTTATATTATTTTTTAAGATTATCAAATTGATAAGAATAATGTTGACATTAGGAATGTTGCCGATTTTTCATTGCACCCAACATCCCTATTGTTTACGGGATGATATACTGTAGATGGCAACAAATGATAACAAATGGTAACAAATGGTATTATATTTTTACCAATTCGCTATATATAAATAATCTGGAATGAGAAGAAATATATAATGAGTATAAATATTTACTCTATTATGGGTAAAAATGGTGAATTTCATTAAAGAAACCTTGACATGATGGTAAGAAAATTATAAATAAATTCTTGAGCGATATTATTAATATTACTAACTAAAATAATATCTATCTGTGGCGTGTACAGTAATATCACAATTTACCTAATTTACTGACTCGGTTAAGTGATAACTTGAACTTTATTCGAAAATATCTTTATTCACTATATGTTTATATCATTACGCTTTCTTTTATTTTTTAGATCGAGTTTTTCAACTAATTCATAATGATTCAAAGTTAACTCCTGAAAATTTTAATCCAAATCATCATCAAAATTCTCCTGCTCATCGTCATTTCTTGCTAAAGAACGGATCGATTGATCATCATTTGATATTCGTACAAACATTTTATTCTTACCAAGTAATTTACACATTATTATATTAATTTAGTATGATTATCATAAGATCTTAAATTTATAAATTAAATGATTTGAATGATTTGAATGAAAAAAAGAAATTTTCTTTTGATTATGAAAATTAGATCGTCTATATAACGTGTAAATAATCATCAAAATCACTCGATTGATTCTATTTAATTAAAAAAATGAAATCTAATTTGGTAAAATAAAATTCTTTTAAGTTTAATTAATTAATGAACAAAAATAATAAAAAAAATAAGAATTTCGCTCACTTTTTATTTTTGATTTTTTTTTTCCCTTCAATTTTTTTTTTCTAAAGTTTTTTTTTTTTTATTTTCTCCTCGTCACTATTTTTTATTTTTATTTTTTTTTTTCCTTATCTATTTAATATGCTATTTGAATCAATGAAAATTTTAATGAACGTTAATACTTTTTCTTCTTAAAGTATTATTGTTGAGCTATCGTTCATTAATTAACAGCAAAAAAAAAAAACTAACTTACAAAATAAATAAATTATAACGCACTTTCAAGCTTCGTAAAAATAATCTATTTTTTTTTTTTCGAAAAAATGATAAAGTTACATAAAATTATATTGACCTTGACGGTCTTGGTTGTAATAGTATCTAATATTTTGGTCGAAGCACAAGGTAATTATCAAATCAAATTTTTATATATTTTTTTCTCGTTATGTGTTAAAGGTTTGTCATTCACCTTTCACTGACAAAAATTAAAATTTTACTTCAGTTCCCGCTCCCACTACAACTACACCTAAATTACCTATAATACCACCACCTAAAACACCACTACCACCTCCACCACCTCCTCCTCCTCCAAAAACAACACCTACTGCCATAACAACTGATATACCACCCCCTCCCAAATCAACTGAACCACCACCTCCTCAAACAACTGAAACATCACCTCCTCCTCCTCCTCCTCCTCCTAAATCAACAGTAGCACCTCCACCTGTACATTCAGAGCCATTGTCACCTCCCCCTTCTTCTACAAGCGCTCCAGCTAGTCCATCTCCTCTTCCTCCACAATCATGTAATACATCCATAGATTGTGATAATACAAAGTTCTGTGATCAAGGAAATTGTCAACCTAGAAGTTCATTTGGTGAGAAATGTGTCAATAAAGATGGATGTTTAAATCCACTTACTTGCAATAAAGGAATTTGTCAATATAAAGATAATGAATCGACTAAAAATCATAATTACGATATTAGAAAAGCTGCTATAACAGGAGGAATTATTGTTGGTATTTTTGTTGTTGGTGGTTTTATTTTTATTGTGTATAGATGTATTAAAAAGAGAAAAGAACGTAAAGGCCGTGAACTTACGTCAAGTGTATACTCAACGGATGGAACGGCAGATTTTGATCCAATTTATCCATTTTCAGAAAGAACAAATTCATTTTCAAGTAGTAAACCAACACAACCTTCACATGTTCCTACTACAAATCATTATGATCCCCTTCCTCCTACTGGTACTACTGGTAATGGTGGTTTTGTAGGAGGACCAGGATCTCGACAGGGATATTATAATTATTATAATAATGAATATAAAGGAGGTTATATGAGACAAAATGAAAACGAAGTTACAAAACGTACGATGAATCTTCTTCAACAAACGCGTGGAAATGTTATGATTGCACCGCATGCACCGCATGCACCGCCACATATACCACATCCACAACATCCACAACTTCCTCAAATTCCTCAACTTCCTCAACATGTACCACATGTACCACATCCACCACATCCACCACATCCACCACCACATTTACAACAAAATTATAAATGGAATTATGGTGTCCCAGGAGTTCAACCAGCCCCACCTGCACAACAACAATTAATGATGGATCAAGGTGGATTATTTCCTGTCCCGTCTGTAACAAGACAATATGGTGGATCTAAACTAAATAATGATGTTAAAAAAAATTCAAACAATAATAAAATTAATAATAATTCATTTAATTCATCTGATTCCTCTAATTCTAATGAAGTAAATTCGGGTGATAAACAAAAAAAGACTCAAAATTTGAGAGACTTGCTTGACTCAAACTCGGTAGATAGTATGTTATCAAGTGGCTCGGAAAATAATTATGTAGAATCTATCTATGATACTTACGCAAGGGATTTTAGACCAAAAACTTTAGAAGTCAAGTTATCAAAAGAAACAAATAATAATAATGTTATTAAAGATAATTTAGCAAGAAATACATCAGAAAAGAAATATGATTCAACAATAGAACAGAATACTTCAAAAGATTCAAAATCCGTAACCAGAAGATCTAGATCTCGAACATTTGGACATGTTGATCCTAGAATTAAATCTACTACCGTGCAAGAACAAAAAAGTGGATCAAAAGGATTAAATGGAATTAATGAATATGATGAAAATTAATATATTTATTTCAATATCTAGTTTTTATTTTTTATAATAATTTAATTAGTCATTTTAATTTATTAAAATTGGTCCTGGATTGTTTGTCAAATAACTCTTTTAAATAATAATTAAAATTGGTCAAATGATCGTAAAGTCCAATTGTCACTGTCAGCTGCGATATAAAGACTTTACTTTTTTCAAAAAAAAAAAAAAAATAATAGAAAAGCAAAATTTATTAATGACCAATTTTATTGAAATTGTATACCAGATATATACTATATACTACTACTAAATAAATATCGAGTAAAAGCCTATACAATATAAGGCGCAGCAAAGTTAGCCAGAGATCACATGATACCTACTGTAACAGTTATTTTTATTAATATTTTCTTAAGCCCATATTTTATTAATATTTACTCTATAGGTCTTGGGAAGGTTGAATCATTAGACAAAGAAATAAAATTTTTTTAAATGATTAAATAATCAAATTTTCAACAACTCGTTCTCTTAATTTTTTGTTAAAAAAAATTTTGTAAATGACCCGGCAACCCGGCTTTTAATTTTTTTTCAAAAATTTATATTTACTGACCCGGCCGGGATGTGAAAACCAATTATATATCTCATTAAAAAAGGGGGATAAAATATTTTTTAAGGTCGAAAAATGTATCATTACTATGCATCAAAATCACACAATTTTCGGATGCAAAATTAGCCGTACTATTCGTACTATTTATTATAAATAAATATAAAAAAATAACTTGTTTAAAAGATTTCATTAATAAAAAAAAACTGGTATTTTTTTTTTGCATTGCCCCAATCTTTAGAAATTTTTACAATATGTCGAATCATCTATAATTATTTATGTAATCAATAGTACAATGTGAAAACTCGGGACATCCTTATGACCGATTACCGATTACAGGACAACTTTATGAAACAAGGGACCACTCCAAAATGTAACACAATTACTTATTATGTCAAAGTTAAAATGTATACCAGGTCATTTCACAATCATTTCAACAGATAGCGAATATACATATTAAAAAACTCAAATATAAATTATGAAATTAAAGAAATTGAGTAATATATAAAAATCAAAAAATTAAAATTAGTAAGGCTAAAATAACACTTTTTTGCCAAACATAATTAATGTTATTACCAGTTTTTATCGTATTAAAGGTTTTGCCGCAAATAATAGAATGCTACAGATGATTCAAGGAATTGTAATGCTCATTTTGGATTGAATGGCCACATTATTCAAAAGTTTACATTGTTAGTGTATATCATATGTCATGTGTGAACTGACTGTTGCATTGTTTGCATTATTATTATTTTAAATTATTTTAAATATAATCAGTTCCGAATATAAAAAAAAAAAGAAAAAAAAAGAAGATATCTTGAGAAGATTATAAGACAAAGTTATGTATGCAATTAGTAAAAGGTTTCATTCAACAACATCAATAAAAATGTGGAATGTTCGCTATTGCCCTATTTCCCAATTTGTCATCATTTTATAGTTAGTGTAGTGTGTTACGGTAATTTTAATTTTTGCTAATTTTGCGCCTACCCTAAAAAAATTCAATCTAATATTGGATTGAACGTATTCCAACTCAATTTAAAGTTTTTTTCCGGTTACTCGCCGTCTTAGAATCAAATTAATGGTGCAACGATTAACAATATATAAATATTTTGTAGGACAATGATATGATTTAAAGTTTTTTTTACGAGGGGATTTTGGGCCTATAAATAAGTGAAAGAAAATCCTACATCTGCTTTATTAAGTTTATAAAAATGATCTCTATCTTTGGTTTTGATATTTTTGAACTTGGATTGATTACGATTCTTATCGGTTTCGTCAGTTATATTATTATATTACGAAGAATACCACCCGTAAGTTATTTTTTTTTTTTGTCTAAATAATAATTTAATATATTAAAATTCCCAACCAACCATTTTATCTAATAGAATGAACCGCCACTTGTTCCGTACAAGTATCCTATAATCGGTCATACTTTTGAGTATTATAAAGACGTTCCAGGTTTTCTAAAAAAATGTCGCGATGAGGTATACTTTTTTTTCATGCATTGCATTTTTATGTATTCTTTACAATCTTTCTAAGTTATTATTATTACTTTTTTAATAGTATGGTGAAATTTTTTCGCTTTATATCTGGGGAAGCGTCCAAACTTATGTTGGAAATGAAGGTTGCAATGAAGTCTTTAAAAGAAATCAAGATTTTGATTTTCAAGAAGCTTTTAGTGATATATTCCCAGTAGATAATTTTCTTAATCGACCACAACATTTTTTTAAGCCCGTAATTGATTTTACTAAAGAATTTTATCAAGATGTGGGCCGGTTTAACGAATTGGTGCAAAATAAAATTACTGAAGCATTGAATGAACTAATTGTTGACGGAAAATGTAAGATACATATAAATGATTATAAAAACATTCATAAATTACTGTGACCAATACAAATTTATTTTTTAGTGGTTCAACCTATTTTACCAACACTCCAACAAGTAGTTGCAAAACCAACTGCAGCTACAATAGTTGGTAAAGTAAGTATTTATTTTAAGTTTTTTATTTTGTGCTTTATTTAAATATATTATATAGTTTCTAATGATCTTTTTTTTTTCTATTAGGAAGTATGTAATGATAAAGAATTACTTAATACATTCGCACATATAACGTCTGAACTAGGTCCATGGTTGTCATTCCCTCCCCTTCTCAATTTTATTTATAATGGTTTACATAAGAGATACATATTGTAAGTTCCCTCCCCCTAATATTTATTAGGTTAGGTTTATTTATCACAACGTATCACTTGTTTTGTTATTAAAATTCCTATTTATTCGTAACGGGAGGAATTTCCCTTCCAGTTAAAATTAGAAATTTTCTTTTTTTAATTGATTATTTTAACTTTTTAATTTAAAAAAATCTAGGTATAAATTTCGATATACTAATAATCCAATAAAAACTCATCGAAAAGTTATTATTTCAAAAATTACTCCCGTTATCAAAAAACGTATAGCTGATCAAAAAGAATTTGGAAATTCTTGGGAACGCCCGGTTAGTATTTATATTTGGTAATATTTTATTTTAAAATTTATTAATTTTTATTATATTTTAGGATGATATTATGCAAGAATTAATGGAAAAATCTAAAAGAGATCATGAAAATGTTGACATCGGGTGGGTCGCTGATTTTATTATGTGTTTCATTTTTGGCAGCGTACACAACACCTCTCAAACACTTGCTCAATGCTTATTCGGTATATATAACTTTATTTCTTTATTTCTTTATGTAATTTTATGATATTTAAACTAAATTATATATTATGTATTTCTTTAGATTATATAAATAATCCTGAATACCATAAAGACCTTATAGAAGAAGCAGAAAGGATTCATAGTGAGTATAAAGTATTATCATCTGAAGCAATGAATAAAATGGAAAAATTAGACAATTTTGTTAAAGAAACGTTGAGACTAAACAGGCATGATGGTAAGAGAATAATTTTATCGTTTCTCTTGTTAACAAATGTAATAGTCAAATTAATTACTGTTCTTTTTTTTTAATAGTATCATTGTCTCACAAAACTATTGCCGAGGAATTTACTTTTGCAAATGGATATCAAATTCCAAAAGGTAATTGATTTTATAATCGGAAATTTTGTGAAGATACTAATAATATATATATATATTTTTTCTAGGTCGTATTGTTCATGTAATTACCCGACATATTCATCATAATCCGACAGCCTATGGACCAAACCCTGAAAAATTTAATCCAAATCATCATGCAAAATCTCCTGCTTATCGTCCTGAACGTCATTTCCTTGCTTTCGGAATGGGTAAATCAGCATGTCCCGGTAGATTTCTTGCAGTTAATGAAGTTAAAATCGCAATGCATGTTATATTATTAAATTATAATGTTAGAAGTGAAAGTGGTAAATATGTAGAGCAAAAAAAGGTGGGAGGATATATTTTGGTACCTGATGAAGGATTAATTTTTGAAAAAAGAAAAGTTAAGACATCATTTACAAATGAATTCTAAATATTGCCTGTAATATATTTTTAACTTTTTTTGTATACAGTAACTGTATACTGGTGATGGGCTTTGATTTTTTTTATATATTTTAGTATTATTATTGATTAAACTTTAAAACATAAATAAATAAATAAATTAAAAGTGTAATACTTATTTAGTGTTTATATATTTTAATAAGTCATTTAAATATTTCATAAGCCTAATCGCCGATAGATATCTCGATGATTTTTTTTTCCTAAATTACCTTTCAATAAAAGATGCGTGAAAAAGAAAGTTTATAGCATAACTTACCTTAAACCAGGTGTTACCATGGTAAAATTGTTTTATCGCTGATCACGTGTGTGGACAGACGAACATTGCATGGTTCGTAAAAGTCCTCCGCTTCTCTCTGGAAAAATATTTATATCAAAATTTTATTACATATTATATCACCATATAGTATATAAATTTTGGTAATTTTAACATCCCATTTAGCTATTAATTTATATAATAATTTTATTTTTTATTATTAGATTAGATAATTTAGATATAATTTATTATTTAATAAGGTAAAAGTTCTTTAAAGATACCTTTGTTTGAGAATTACGCCATTGAAAAATTTTAATAGCAAAATTGAAAATATTGTTTTTCCTGTGAATACTGTGAATACTATAATTAGAACTCTAATGCCATTTGTTGGTACTGTTCATGATATTTACTTTTATATACTTATAATTAATTTGTTGTTTATTTTATTTTAGATTTGCACAAATGTTTTTTTTTGGTGGATCAAATTTGGTTTTTGTTTGTTTTTCAACCGATAATTATAAAGAGATCACGTGGAGTGTTGCATTTCCTAAATAATAAAAATAATCAATAAAATAAAATTAATTTTTAATTTATTGGCTTAGCCATAACTGATCAACACAAAGAACACAAAGAATCGAGACGGCTTGGCATTATGATATAAATATAAATAGCTTGACTCCCTTTTTTAGCCATGAACACTTTTTCTCTTGCCCTCTTTCTTTCTCCTAGATTTATTAGTTTTGAAATACTTTTCCATTCAAATTAGATTTGTTTGATTAGTAAATCTTATTTATTGTAAGTATCAAATTTCATTTGCATATTACTATTTGTTGATTCTTTTAAGCCACGTTTTTTTTTTTAAAAAAAAAAAAAAAATTTATATCCTTTGTCGTTTTTCGATTTAGATAATTTTAATGAAAACCAAATTATTATATGAAATTTAAATAATAATTTATAATTGAACGAAATGAAACTCTTTTTATTGTCGATTCTTACATTCTTCACTCTAATCTTATGTGCTGCATCATTACCGCAAGCACCTGATTTTGGAGTTTCTCCAACGATTTTTGTAAAGTTAACTGGTACAGCTGACCGTGATAAAGAACCTACAATACAAATTTTTCCTCTTAATTCGGATTTGAAGATTAAATGGACAAGTGTAGGAATAAAAGAAAATCGTTAGTTTCGACATATTTAACAATTATTTTTTTTTTTTAAAAAAAAAAAAATACCATATCACTTATAAACTAATTTTAAAAAAATTGGGTTTCTTTTTTTTTATTTTTTTTAGCTACCGTATTGATACAAGTTTATTATGTATACCCAACTCTCCCTAAGCCAACTTACATTCCATTATTGAAGAAACAAAAGGTAATTATAGATACAAAAATATTTTAAAAACAAAAGTTCTTAAAATTATTAAAAAATATTATTATTAACGCTGAAATTTAATCATTTAAAAAGGAAACATATTTAAATGAAAATACATATACATTAAAACTTGATTCAGATTTATTTGAAGCTGAAGGAAAATTTTATAAAGTAACTGTTACTTTGAAAGATGATGAAGAAGTTGTTGGTACTTCTAAATCTTTCGGTGTCTGTAATAAATGCAAATAATCTAAATAATCTAGAGTTAAGATGTCATATAAAGTAATGATTTGTTAATTAAAAAGTAATTTTATGTAAAAACAGTATATTAATTAATTAAAAAAATTTAATAAGTAATAAACCCAGTTATGACTAAAAATATCATGATATGAATAAATAAATATCTTATTTAAAGTAACCATTTATTAAAGTTATTAGTTATTTTAGAGAAATGTAAAACGTTCATAGGTTAGGGGTATATTAAGCTGTTCTAATTTGATATAGATTCACAATGAAAGAAGAGTGAATGGTTTTTGATTGGTCAATATATAAATCTTAACCAAAGCCGGAGGAAGTAAAGGATTTAAACATGTGAACTGATCGTAGAACTATTATAGATCAATTTTTTTGTATTCTTCACGTAGTTTATCTTTTCCTGTTTTCTCTCTTTGTAATAAAAATATGTATTAGCCCTGCGAAAATATACTTTATCCCATCGGTATTATGTATACACCGATGGATTTTTTTGTAAATTATTCCACCGGGGAATATTTCAGTTATTCATTGATACCCATGGAAATAACAAGTATGTACACTTTATTACCTGTCATGATTCGTAATATTCCCACCGGATAAGGTATGAGAAATTCTTACGAATCGTATAAGTAATAATCGATGATGTAGTGATAAAGTATAATTGTGTAATTATGTAAAATTACATCAGTTATAAACATAAATCCGCTAATAATTAGCAAGTATAGTCGATGTCAAAGTATACTTAGATTATAAATCAATCAAATTATTATTATAAAGTAAAAAAATTTAAACTTATGTTCGTTTCTCCTTGTAATAATCACCATTATGAATGTCACGTCCTTATATAATTTACCACAAGAAATTCTTTCAATGATCTTACAAAATATTCCTCAAAAATTTTTATATAATTGTTTATTAGTAAATAGGTGTTTCTCAATAAACTCTGTTCGACATATTTATTTGCACGCAATTAATGAATATTTTTTTAATATACCAAATATACTAAATGAAAGATTTATTTATAATGATACCGATCTTTCAATAGCTAGTAGATTTGCGATTTGTTTAGTGAAAAATTTTATAAAATGTTTAGATGATAATGATAAAAAGAAATTGAGAGATTGTGATATTTATAATATTCATGAATTAATTAACGAAGGATCGAGACCAATGTTCGATTATGTTTCATTAGTTAAAAAACTGGATCTTATGAACTTATGGAATATGATAAAATTTTGGTTAACTAGAATTGAATTTATTTATGAAGTTGAAAATAATGATTATAAAGAATTTGTTAGAAAGGATAAAATTTTCTTAATTTTTCAACTTTTATGTTATCTAATTGATAGAAGAAATCCTAATGTGATTTATGAACTTAACCTATCTAATTTTCCTTCATACGAAGATCCGGAATTCCCATGTCCAAATGAAATTCCTAATATATCTCACATATTTGCTCGTATTGATCAAATTTCTTTTAGTGGTGATGTTTTTATTGAAGATATTTTTTTAAATAATTTATCACAAATTTGTATGAATATTACTGATATTAGATTAAATAAACTAATTAAAGAATCGGATTTTTTTGATTATGAATATTTAATAAATTTAATTCATAAACAAAAAAATTTGACTACTTTAATTGGAGTTGATGAAGAAGTTTTAAATGAAATTTCTGAGATATATTTATTAAAATTGTCTCGTTTATTTATTGAATTTACATTTGAAGAAGTAAATTTGGATGGTGTCTCTAGATGTAAGAATCTTCAACATTTGATGATTGATGCAAAATTTGATCAAACTGATTTTAAAATATGGAAGAACTTCTTTTCTAATACTCAAATGAATGATTTAGAGACTTTTATCCTTCTTTGTAACACATCAATTATTTATGAAGTGCCTCCATTTATACGAACAACTCATAATAATCTTCGCGTGTTTCATTGTTTTATTACTAAAGATTATCAATTGATAAACCACGAAAATATTAGAATTTTATTTGAAACAATTGCGACATCTTGTTATAATTTATTGTCTTTTCTTTTCACAATTTATTCTGAGGAAATTATAAATGATTTAAAAATTATTCTAATATCATGTGAAAAATTACAAGAATTAATTCTACATTGTGAAGGTTTCCGGACTTGTGGTCATCTTTCCATACTTGGAAAAATAATTCCTTCTAATTTAAAGATCTTAAATATTAATAATATGATATATTGTAAGAATGATTTACATAATCTACTAACGGGATGCTATGAGAATGGAATAAGAAATTTGGTATTGGATCTTACTGACACTGAATTTGGAGGTAACTATTCAAGCTTATTAGAAATATTAGAATTGTTTATAGGCAATGGGACTTTATTAAAAGGGAATCTTCCTTGAATGATATTCTCTTAGAAAAAGGCAAGATGGAAGGCGCAGGAACATATAAATATGGAGGTAAAGACGAAATATTTTAGTTAATTTGCAATAATTCAAGGCTTCAAGCTTCTATTCTCTTTTGTACTGTCCAAAATCTCTCAGAAATGTTGTCAATATTTTGTTAACAATCTAATCAGAAAGACTTGCGGAATATTTTATTGTCAGCTTAAACACAGAATTACAAGTTAGCGTTGAAAATTACTTTTATTTATTTTAAATAAAATAAATATAATATATAAAAAAATATATTTATCAAAATCTTCAACAATGACCTAATATATAAAGATAAAATCTTAATTATACTATAGAGATGAAATTTATGCTAATAAAAGAAAAAAAAGTAAATGTGTTATTATATTACGAATAGCGTTAAAAAAAATAATTTACAATTCATTTTACCTGTTAAGGATACAGTAAGTGGATTCTATAATCATAATTTTATATAAAAAGAGAAAAAAAGAATAACTTAATTAAAGATTATTTAGGATAATATTAATGCAAATAAATTAATTACCAATCCATTTCGGATTTCTGTAGCTGTTGGGAATTTGCCGAGCCTCAACTATTTAAAGATATTGAAAATATATTAAATATTGTACATTGTAATACGATGCAATATAAAATTTAATACAAACCAATTCGGAACAATGGGACACGAGAGGATCAATGGAGATTGAAGCAACTGCTACAATTTTATCACCACCTATTAAAAAACGAAACAAGTAAAATACCCTTCCATAATTAATACAAATCAACCAAATGACTAATTAAAAAAGGTGATACAAACGTGCATAGAAGGCAGCAAATTTAACTTCTTCTAAACTTCCTTGCACAATAACATCATCAAAACTACTAGCATATCCGCAATAACGCAATCCTTTACTAAGCTGATTACTCCAGAAATAGGGGATCCTTTTAAATGGAGTTATTTTTTTGGTTGTTATAGCATCAGCTGCTGCTCTTCCTGTATTTTCCGCAAATGACTAAAATATTTATAATTATTATTAGTTTACAAAATTATAAGTTTGTGCTATATTATCATTTACCCAATGTTCAATTCTAAGGGTTTCGTTAGTTCCAAAGTAAGGAAATCTAGCGATATCACCTATAAATAAATTAATGTAATAAAATCAATCAAGTAATTATAACAAAAAAAAAAGAGTTATACTAGTTATACTGCATAATATTTACCAATTGCATAAACGTTTTCAAGTCCTTCAACTTTGAAATTCTCAGTAACATTTATACTACCATCTCTCTCTAATGTAAATCCAGTCGAATTTTTCAGAAATTCCTGATTAGAACAGAATTTTATAAATAACATGTAGGTAATGTACTGTGGTTATCAGTTTATCAAAATATGAGATTCACCGTTGATGGTACAACTCCAGCTCCGATTACTATTACATCAGCTTTAATTTTAGTTCCGTTCTGTAAGACTACTGCACCACCTATTTTAGGATCAGTTTCTATGATATAAATTAAAAAATTAGAATCGATTTAATTAATTTAATAAAAATTATGATATAAATATTACTTACCAGATGGTTCTATTTCTTTAACCGCAGCTTGCATATAGAATTTAACACCTTCATTTTCATGTAGTTTTTGAAACACAGCTCCAACCTTTTCTCCAAGTACTCTTTCAAATGGTACCTAATTAATTGAAATATGTAAATTAGATTCCAACATTCTCATACTTGAGCAATAAGTATAAATATAAAGACCTTCTCCATGCCAATCACAGACACATTAGCCTTTTTAACCGAAATCGAGGAAACTTCCAATCCAATAAAAGAAGATCCAATAATTACGAGATTTTTCTTCTCATCTCCAACCACGGCTATTTAATAAAGAAACATACCTGTTAGAAATAGTATGTCATCATATAATTGTTATTTAACTTTATGTACCATTTTCAATATTTTTATAATCATCGTAAGTGCGCAGGTAATATACATTTTTAAGATCGATTCCTGGAATTGGAATTGACCTTGGCTATAATATTAAAAGAGAGTTTAATAAAAATAAAAATAATTTCCATTAACATAATTAACTTACATGAGCGCCGGTCGCAATAATCAAGCTACTATATTTCAATTTTTCACCATTATCAAGAGTAACAGTTTTTGATGTTGGATCTACTCCTGTTGCAGACTATAAAAAGAACCAAGGAAATGTTAAATCAAATAAATATATATTACTGAACATTGCTAAATATAAACAAGTATATAAAATATTTACGGTTCCCAATTTAAGTGAAATTAATAGTTCATCATAAAATTCCTTTTTTCTTAAAGTTATCTTCTCAATACCAAAACCAAAACTTTTAGAAAGTTTTGGTCTGACAAATAAATAAAGAAATTACAAGTTTGTTTGGAAAATGTTTAATAAAGACAATTAATTTTGATCACTAACCTATCAATAGGCAAGTAAGATTCGCGACTCACAAGAATGATTCTTCCGTCATACCCATTCTAGTATCAATATCATAATTAAAATCAATAAAAATAAGACTAGTAAATAATTTATCTGAGATATACCTCACGAAGTTTTTCTGCGGCAGTATTACCACCAGCACCGCCACCGATGATTACTACAACATCGTCTTCGTTAAATGGAGATGGATGAACCTTACACCTAGGAGGACGTCTTCCACCTTTCAATGCTGAAATTAAATTATAAAGACACTATGGGTTAACATTAGTTATGACGAGTTGTGTTGTAAATATATAAAAATAATTTGTACTTAATATTTGATTACGTTACCTGCTTCATCAACTTCCACATAGATATCATCATCTTTAACAGTAACCTAATCATGGTAAAATTTTGGTGAGAAACAAAATTAATTTAGATAATAGTGTAATTTATTATTTTTACCTTTAATGATTGAAGATTATCCAATCCGGGAGAATCCTCTTATAATAATGAAAAAAATTTAGATGTATGGAAAAGATTAAATTTTCTGATAAATCCCATTGATTCATACCGATATCTCCGGTTTTGACGTTGAAACAGGCTCCATGCCAAGGACTAAATTCAAGACTCTTAATAATTGTTATTTAAAAAATTACTAATATAATATATAAATTGACATACCAAATAATACGTCCTTCACTTGAAAAGGCGCCTTTAGCAAGAGGTGCCTAAATTGTTAAAATATGAAATTAAATTCTGATATTTAACCAAGAAATAAATTGTATTTCTTTGAAAACTTACTCCATAGTGAGTGCACTTGTGAGAAGTAGCATAAATTTGACCACCTGTTTTTGCAAGGAGTACCTTGGAATTGTTACCGACGGTAACTTCTTTCCTAAAAAATTTCGATAATATTAGGAATAATCAGAGAAAGAAACCAAAAATTTATGTTAGTTACATTTGTCCGTCTTTAAGCTCGGAAGCTTTACCGGCGTTATATTCAACCATAGTGTAATATTGTAAGGGAAGGTATTGAATTCTCGATATAAAATCTCAGCCATATATAACTAAATAATCTTGGATTAAACCTGGTTCCTAACTAGTTTCTCACGATTAACTGATAGCGTTAAATCGATCTATGAATCTATGATAATTGATAAATTTTGCTTAGTAGTCTCTCATTGGTGTAAATACTGGTAAGGCCATTCTCCTTCAATTAAATCGGATAGTGATGTCATTGTGCTCAAGTATCACAACCAATAAAGAATTATGACACAAACTTTTATACTGAAAAAATCTATTTGAGAATTTAATTTTAAATTCAATTTTAAATTGAAATGATGATTGAGCGTTTTCTATAAAGAAACTTCGAAACTTTATGATGTTTTTTTTTGCTAATCTGTTCACTCATTAGTATATCAATTGAGATCATATCAATTATCAGCGTTCTCAAGCACTTTATGGTTGAGTGATCTGATTGGTCAAAAAAATATCAGAAAGATTTGGAGAGTTTCTTTATCGCTCAATCATTATTTCAAATTAATTTATTTTGGTATAACAAAAATAAGTTCTCAGTAAGATTTTTTTTCAATAAAGAAATCTATTTTACTTTTAATGCAGAAAATTTTTAACTTTTACTCATCGTTATCATAAAAAAAAATTCGTTATTTAAAATTTATGTCAAACTAATAAAAAAAGGCATGCTCATTCTATTGATCTCGTTATTGATTATGATACATGAGCACAATGACATCAAATTGAAGGAGATGCTTGAGAACGGCCTTAATCTACTACCTTTCACGTCATTAAAGATTAGTTAGTCTTGGAAACTGGCGGCAGTGTTGGCACTTGCCAAGGTTGACCATTTAGCCGTTTGGCAAGTTTGGCCGGCCAAACTGGCCAATAAATCTTTGGCCGTGGCCAAATGCCAATTCAGCCTTAATAAAATATTGGTATTTTGTTATTTGGCCAAAATTTGGTCAGTGGTTGCCATTGGCCGTTTAAGCCATTTTGGCGGCCAAATGCCAACACTGTCTGACAGTCTCGGACTCATCTATTTTACAAAACCTGTTCTCTTCAATGTAATCAACATCATCTTTGTCTGTAATATATACGTTCCGATAAACAATGTGGTATTGTTAAGAGATTTAACTTGGTTGGTAGTCCGCCGAATGCAACACTGATGAGAATATCAAATCAGGCAAAAAGCACATGAGGAAACTACCAACCATTTTAGAGTTATTGAATTAAATGAATGGGTATTTCATAGGTACTGTATATAAGAAGCAAAAACAGGTTCATGAATTAAGTGATTCTATCCATGTAGTCTTCATAGTCTTTATTTGGACAAAATTGACGAAAGCAATTAGATAGTTGAACTTGCACAGTCAGCTCCAACACAACAAAGACGATAACGCTTTTACAAAGTAGTCTTTCAGATTAAATTCATGGAAAATCGTTTATGAAAATAAATGCAAGATAAGGAAAATCAATCATAAGACTGTGCCAAATGTAACTGCAGGAATTGTGGCATTTCAATGGATAGATATGAAAATAGAGTTGCATTCCAAGGTGACTATACTGGATAAACTAGAAGAATATTGCCAAGTGCAGCGCACGGGTGCTATGGATTTTATCTAAGCCATAATTGATTAATATATGTGGCGGAAATTTATCAATCATGTGTCATTGTGCGATGATACCATGGCACTTCGCTTTTTTTTTAAACAGTTTACATAAATGGTATGTCACGTGCCTGTACATATAGAATGGGATCTACATGTATTTATACATGAGCACGGGACTAAGTTACTAAGTGTAACCACAATGGCAAAATCGAACAACAACATCCTTTTATATTATTATTTTCGGAATAATCCCTTATTTCCGTAAAAATCGTAAAAATGGCATGATTAATCTGATTAATATCATTAATTTAGGAAATCCTAACTTATTGGTTTTTACAGAAATATATTGATTTCAAAACGTTGTATCTTACCCTTGTTTGCGCTTTTTTTCTTCAATTAGTAAGTATCGGCCGCAACATTCGTAGTACAATGCAGGACGTATTAATTGTTAATTACATTTTACTTTAAATATAAAACTCTTGAATATTAATCATAATATTAATTAACTTATATAATAATATAATAAACTGATATAATAATATAATAATTTAATAAACTTATTTGGTTTCGTGATACTTGAATTAGCGACAATAAAATTTTCTATTTAAATACCAATAAAAAGTATTAAATTTCAATATTTTTTTTTTCCTACCTTTCAAACATTTTCATTCATTTTTATACATTTCGCTCTTTATCCTTTCCGTAAAATCTTCTCGGCTGGCCGAGCCTATCTTCCTCTAGAATTTTAATATTATCACTCCGGTCAAGACATTACAAAAACTTCCATACATACATTTCTCATATACATACATATTTAGAAAATTTAAAAAAATGAATAAAAATAACAATATACCAGGATATAATCCATATTTTGATGATGGAAGCAACGATAGGTATCCATCGGAATACGAAACTATGAAAACATATGTTAATACTTCGGGCTTTAGGGATAGTTATGAAGCAACGGGAATGCCAAATAATATAATTTACCCGGAAGAAGTTGCACTTCAGAGACAAAGTTCTACCAAAAAACTTTTGGATAAGGAAATTGCTCGTGGAGATTCAATGAAAAAACTAACAAGGGGCGATTCAGAAAAAAAATTGCAAACACTTAACAAATTTGACCCCACGAATGCATATAATAGTTCTGTAACTGTTAAGAAACCAGTTACTAGTTATGAAAAGTTTCAAGCTTGGATGATTAACGAAGGTAAATAAAGCAATGTAACACAAATAAAACATACATATCGCATCACGTGTATAATTTTTTTCTAAAACTTTCTAAAATATTTATTTATAGGCTCACGCAAAATATTTACCGTATCATGGATTGTTATTCATGCATTAATATTTTCGATGGCTTTCCTCAATTACTTTTTTAGCGATAATTTGAATGGACCAAGACAAACCTTTGGAATGACATATGTATTTGCACGATCAGCAGCCGTTGTTCTCCATTTTGACGCAGCCGTGATTTTATTTCCTGTTTGCCGTAATTTAGTTTCTATTGTTCGTCAAACTCCCCTTAATAATGTTATTTCATTTGATGAAAATATCGAATTTCATAAAGCCATTGGTTGGTCTTTATTATTTTTCACAATAGTTCACACCGTATCACATTGGGTTAATTTCTATCGTTTGGCAGTAGCAAAAAATGGAGGAGTTCTTATGTGGCTTCAGCTTAATTTTGCAACTGGACCTGGATTAACCGGATATGTTATGCTTATTTCTTTGTTTATTATGGTTGCTACGGCCACACAAAAAGCTAGACGTGCTCATTTCAATAGATTCTGGTATCTTCATCATCTTTTTATTCCATTCTTTGGTGCATGGGCTTTCCACGGTGCTTTCTGCATGATTCAACCTGATAGAGAACCAAAATGTAGTGATATTGCTTCGTTCTGGAAATATTGGATTGCGTCTGGTACAATTTATATTGGAGAACGTGTTCTCCGAGAAATTCGTGCTCGTCAAACAACTTATATTTCAAAAGTTGTTATGCATCCATCCAAAGTTGTCGAAATTCAAATTAAAAAGAACAATATTACAACTAAAGCTGGTCAATATATTTTCTTATGTTGTCCTGAAGTTTCAATTTGGCAATGGCATCCATTTACATTAACTTCAACTCCCGAGGAAGATTATATCTCGGTACATATTCGTGTTGTTGGTGATTTTACTGAGGCATTAGCTAAAAAATTAGGATGTAATTTTGAAGAAGAAGCTAAATTAAGAAAAAAGAATAGGGACCGTATTAAGAGCCAGTATGATGGAATTGATATTTCTTCAGACAATCCCGAACTTCAAAAAGTTTTACCAAGAGTTATGGTTGATGGCCCATTTGGTAGTGCTTCCGAAGACGTATTCAAATTCGAAGTTGCTATGCTTGTGGGTGCTGGTATTGGTGTCACTCCATTTGCCAGTATCCTTAAGAGTATCTGGTAAGAAATTTAACTTAAAATTTTATTTAAATAAGTTTTTAAATAACTTTTACTAAATAAAAGACTTTATTTCTCTTTTAGGTATCGTGTAACTTATCCGAAGAAATCCACCAAACTTCGAAAAGTTTACTTCTTTTGGATTTGCCGTGATTACGATTCCTTTGAATGGTTTCAATCATTATTATTAGCTATAGAAGAACAGGATATTCAACAATTTATTGAGATTCACACTTATTTAACAGGCCGTTTACGTCATTCGGAAGTTGGTAATATTCATGTTAATGATGATGGAAATGTTAAAGATACTATTACAGGACTTCGTTCACCAACACAATTTGGACGTCCAAATTGGGATAAAATCTTTTCAAATATGAGGGAGCAACATCCTGCTTCTGACGTTGGTGTATTTTTCTGCGGACCTAAACCTCTTGGTAAACAAATACATACGAAATGTAATTTATGGAGTCAAGGTTTTGAGGATGGCACAAGATTTTACTTCGGAAAAGGTAAATTTTAATTTTATTTATTTATTTACTTAAAAATGTTTATATTTTGGAAAATTGCAACTAATCATTTAATTTTTTTTTTTTAAATAGAAAACTTTTAAAAATACAATTTTTAAAAAAATGTTAGTTTTTGTCGCTAAATATCATAGAAAATAGACGAATCAGTCCACATCACAATTTCTATAAATTATTTTTTCTAGTAAATTTTAGCTACTTTTTTTTCAATCTTTTGAATGTATGAACAAGTCAAACCGTTAATAATATTGTAAATGTAATTAAAAGTAGAGTTGGGTACGAAAAAAAAAGATAATATTTTGTTATAATTTTTTTCTTTGTAATAAACTTTTTGATTGTATTATTTTTTTTTTACATACAGAATCTGTCAAACAGAAACGTATTTTTATTATTAATACATAAACAGTAAATGCACGTTGATACTCAAAACCCCTTAAACTTGAAACGGCTGAAAGATGAAACTCATTCCGCAGATCTTCCGACAGAATAGACCCGGGGATCAGCCTATCATGTGATTTATATTATTTTCTTCATTATATATAAAAATATGTATATGACAATAATTTTAGATAATTCCATTAGGGGGTTAGGGCGAAACATATTAAATAACTAATTTCTGATTGAGAATTATAGTTCGGTGAACAAAAACAGCTCAAAACTGGATTACTTACACAATCTTTCCATTATTATCATTGTTCTTAGATTACTTGTAATCTGTGTACCACGTAGTCGGAATCGAATTTATAATTTTCCAAAAAACATAATAACCTAATGGATACCATAGAGTTTTAAAAAGTAAACTCTCCAATTATATTAGGCATTTTCACAGAAAAAATAATTTTTTATAATGATTCCGAAGAAGGTAAATTTACCGGCGTCAAATTACGTAATAATTTCACACCAAAGTGAAAAACGTCATTGATATTCAATTTGAATCACACTTTAAATTCTTTAATTCAGAAGAAATATATTATGTCAATACAAATTTATTAAGTTATGTCCTAAGTGTACGTCTATTATTCTAAGTATTAACAGAGAAAATTTTTAAACAAATTATAATAATTAATATTCTTTCTTGTAACCACCGCCATAACCGTACTCCTCAGTTTTGAAAATTTTGAACTTTTCACTAAATCCTTTGCATTCTTCATTATCTTTGAGGTATACAACGGCAATAAATTCATGCTTAACGTTCCAGTCTTCACTAATTTCGAAATTAATGGTTCCAGTTCCGCATTTGCTCTAGTATAAATCAAATTTTTTTTTTTTTTAGCATTTGAAATAAACATTAGAATTAAGGAGAGTTGTGATACTTACTTTATCCTCGAAGACAACTTTATCAGTACTCTTGTCTATAACTTTAACTATAACTATGGCTATTTTATTCAAAAATTTTTCGTTAGTTATATTATAAATTAAATAAATGATCTTTAAATATATAAAAAGTTCAAAAAAATTTACAATCGGATGGAATGTTTAAAGACCACCAGTTGATAGCTTGAGTAGATTTGACAGCCCATGGGCCACTTCCCGGGCTAGAGACATGAATTTCTTTGCTACCGCCTTCGTTTGGAGTTGGAGAAGCAACAACAAATGTTGCAATTAAAGCGATAGTAATTAACAAAAGAGAAAAAAATTTCATTTTGATCATTAGATTTTAAATGTAAAAAGTAGACTTGAAAGTGTAAAAAGTAGACTTGAAGTTTATTTTGAAGCGAGGAAAGTCCACTGTTTAAATACTTTTTGTATAATCTGTTTTTTTTTCCTCGAACATGACTATCTTCCGGGAAGTCCTTTTTTTTTATTTAAGCCTCAAGTTTAATAATTATTATAAATCGATCATAGATCCCGCAAAGCCCATTACTTAGAATTTGGTATAGATAAAATACCCTAAAACACCGCATTGATAAGCCTTTATTTTTTCTTGAAAAAATACTGGAATTTGAATTAATTTGATTTTTAGTGGCTTTTATGGCTTAAATCGGTATGGCTTAGAATAAATGCAGTTCGATCTGCTCGATCTCAAATTTGCGTTCTCTTATAAATAAAAATTACAAATAAAGGCTTCTTTTATTTAAATTTTTAGAATTAGTTCTTTGAATTATTATATGGCTTTTGCATATCGAATCTATCCGATATCAATTCTATAAAACAATGCCTGACCACAGCCATGATATTTGAAATAATTAATAAAGCATGTGTGAGGCTAATGAGCTGTCATAGTTTGTGAAATGTCATTTCAATATTCGGTATAAATCGAATAAAGGAAATTTCTTTTTTGAGAAATTTATATTATTAGAACGAATTTTCCTTTTTTGATATCAAAGACGCCTTCTAATTATTTTCTAAAAAGGAAAAGACGTATTGCGAATTACTTAAGCCCTAAATGACCAATTATTGATTTGGCTAACTTGAAATGTTAATTAAATTATCGGTAAAAAAACCTGTTCGCGAAATTTTTTTTTTTTAGATTACATATTTACATCCTGTTAAGTATGAAATTTTTATATTTTTATATGTTAAATTTTCATCGATTTATATGATTTTCAAAAGTAATATAAAAAATACTTATCATCAAATAGATAATATTACGCGCTTTGAGATAAATTGAAAGAGAATTTACGCAGTTTTATGATATAGACAATCAAAATTCTATTAAATTTCGATATTTCATTCATTTCTCACTGACTTTGAGCTTGGATCCGTTGCTTGATTGCTTGAACGGATAATTATTAATTTGGGTCGATCACTTGGTATAGAACTTAGCTTAGCAAGATAGCCACTGACAAAGTTTTAATAAATTACCTTCTTTAATGTTGCGGTCTTACGAATATCCGGCCGGTATCCGTTATTCCGAACAAAAAGTCTATTTGTTAAATATGAAACTTAAATTATGAAGAATATTTTTTTTTTGATATTTTTTTATCTCGTACAGTAGTAACAGTACCTTAAATTACGATTTTATTATTATTCAAATGGATGCCTTGTGAACTCTTGCTATGTTAAAAAATTGAATCACAGTGCCAGGCTTGTTGGAAGCCAGTAATAACGAGTTTTCGTCAAAGCAGCCTCATCGTAAATAACGAGGTAAGTTTTTTTGGGGTACATAAACAGGATAACATTTATTACTGTAGATTATGATGAACAATAATGATAATTAAATATTGTTATTTCGTAATAGAACCTGTTGGAAACCAGCCAACTGATCTTATGTGAACAATTAGTTATTGTACTTTATTATAGCCAATCTAATAATTAACGAGAAAAGAAAGTTCCGAGTTTCATTGATAAGCAAATATAATATTAAAAAGAAGAATCTTTGATTTTACATTAGCAAAATGTGGATAAACGGTTGTCTAAAATATCAGATGTGCATCGATCAATAAAATATTTCTTGTAAAATGACAACAGCTACTATTATATTTATAGCGAAAAATATTTTGGCAGAGAATTTCAATCGAGTGCTATACAGTATATATATACTGTATATTTTTGTAAATATCATAAAAACCATGTATTTTACGAATTTCTTTACCTGCTTTACCCGAAGAAATAATATCCCCAATGGAGAATGTTACTAATAGCACAGATGAAGGTGACTTACTTGAATAGTCAGAAAAATTATGAGTTTAAGAAGTTTCACAATCATAACAATCTAAGTACGGTACATGATGATACGATCAAAATATTATTGCTTAAAAATATAATAAATATAAAAACTTGCCGACTATCTTCCTTTTAAATCAAATACAAGTCAATAGAAAAATCTAGATTATTGAGTCTGTAAATTATTATAGAAAAAGAAAAAAATAAGATTTGAAAGTAAAAAATTACATTATTTAAAAGAATCACAAATTTCTTTTACAATATAACCAACTTTTTCAAAATCATTTAAATCTGTATAAATTTGTGCGCTAGCTCTAATATACCAATATTTATTATGTTTAAATACAAGTACAGCAAAATTATACTTATTAAACATTAAATCCATAAATTTTTTATCAGTAAATTCTTCATTTGATGTAGGAATTGGTAACCTAATATTGACCATACTTTGAATAATACTTTCTGGTCCAATTATTTCCGTACCAAGAATTGAAGAAATTAAATTTCCTCCTTCAATAGCCAATTTTTTGCAATAATTTTGAATCTTTTCTTCACCACCAATTTTTTTGCGAAATTCCAAAGCAGCATGAATCGCCAAAAATGAACTAAAAATGGACGTATATTATATTATTTTCTAATCTTATATAAATTTAATATGTAAAAAAAATTCATTCACTAGTTCACTCACCCAAAATCTTGTGTTCCAATCCATGAGAATTCGGAAACAAACCCTTCATGTAAATATAAACTTGTAACAGAAGGATGAATCTTTTTCTGATGTTTATATGGAACATAAAGAATAGCAGAACTTTTAGGTGTATATAACCATTTGTGACAATTTGTCGCAAAAAAATCTGGTTCAATTTCTTTAATATTTAGAGGAATTTGACCAATTGCATGAGCTCCATCAACGACAGAAAGAATATTATTTTGTCTCAAAATAGAAATCATACGTTGAAAAGGTACAATAACTCCTAAGAGGATTATAAACACAATTAATTTTATGGCATTACGTGAAAATAATAATAATAATAAAGGATTACAAACCGGGAGTAGAAGATATAGCATCAATTACGGCCAATTTGATTTTCGTATTTGGTTTTTGTTTTTCCTCTTCAATGACTTTGACAAATTTATCAATTAAATCATCATCTGATATAGGATAATTTACTTCAATTTTGATAAGTTCAACTTTTCCTTCATATATTTCATGAATATATTCTAATAAACTTCCTATAGCAGCATAAACTGTCGAAAAATAAAGTAATTTATCACCTTCTTCATATTTCAAACTTTTCAAAACTGAATTAATACCAGTTGTAGTATTTTGTACAAAAACCACTTCATTTGTTTCAGCATTTATAAATTTTGCTACAGCTTCTCTGGCTTTACATAATTCTAATTCTAAATCTCTGCGAAAAAACTTGTCAGGATTAGTTTCCATTTTATCTTGATATTCACGGAAAGCTTCTTGAACGACCTTAGGAATAGTTCCATACGATCCATGATTAAGTGGTATATAATCATTATCTAAAAGAAATTGTGATCGCATTGGATGTCCAAATTTAAAAGTTGATTCTTCTTTTGACATTATTATTAAAGATTGCTTTGAATTTTGATAAGTATTTTGGAAAAAAAAATTCCAAGAAAGAAAAAAGATCAGCTTTTTAAGTTTTTTTTAAGGGCAAATTATAAAAGGTTGGATCTGCAAATTATCACGAGTTTAGCTGATTAAAATAAATAAATACCGTAATACGCACAAAAAGAATTGCATATGATTATTTATGATTATTATGGCTGCAGCTGGATTTTCCGAAATACATTTTCCAAACATTAGATAGTTGGTGCGGGGTTATAGGTACTAGGCAATACCGCAATAGCAGGTACGCATCACATCCTATCACATGATATACTGCGGATTTCCTTATTTAGTAAGACTTTCGATCACGTGTTACTGCGGATAGCTATATATAAGGAAAGGTGTAATAAATCACGTGATAGATGTGATGCGTACCAGCGGTACCAAATACCCACGACCCCAATATTGCAAAATCCGATTGGATCATAAATAAATGATGTATAGATTTCTTTTTAACCCATTTCATTTTGGCTTGGCCATACGGTGCATAAAAATGATTAACTGCCAAAAGATTATTTGATTGCAAAATAATAAATAATAAGCAATAACAATTTTTTTACGTATACTATACAGTAATTAAGTATACAAATTAATAACTGGACAATAAAATTCTCGGCGCAATAATTCCCTAATGTTTGTTTATTATTTATTGGAAATTGAGATAAAGTGACATTCGGGAAAATGGAATTTCGGAATATGATCCAGTTTCGAAAATGAGCATTCAGAAATTGGGAAATAGCATCCGGAAAAAGGTACAACAAGGAGTTTTTATATGTGCACATTACCTACTGTACATGCATGAAAAAAGTGAAATTTATTGTTATAAAATAGACAACATTTATTTATTTGAAAAAAAAGTACAATTCAAGTTGATAAAAGTACTTTTCAAGGAGAAAAATAAAAGAACATGCTTAAATCTAATTAGATCTATCAATTTCTTCGAAAATTGGCCATCTTCCTTTATCTGGACATTTATTCAAAGGACGCCATTCAATATTGACTCTGCCTAAGATAATATCAGCCAATTGTTTAAAAGCGAAAGGAGTTAAATCAACATTATTACCATCTGGGGGACAACCAGCACATTTATCAATAACTTTTACAATTATATTTTTATTGTTCGCAGGATTTCTAATTTCAATGCAATCAAAACACAATTCAAGTTCGTTCATATGCATAGCAGCAATCATATCATTTTCATTAGCATCATAATTTCTCAATCCGTTGTTACCGTAACAGGCCGAATTTTTAAGACTATCTCCAGAATAAAATGTTATCTGGGCATCAACAGGCTTGCCTTTTCCGTTATCATTTTTATCATCTTTATCATCATTATTTTTGTTATCTTTATTCTTATTATCGTCTTTGTTGTCGTTATTCTTGTTATCTTCTTTTTTGTTCTTTTTATCGTCTTCTTTGTTGTTATCATCTTTCTTGGCACGTTTAACAAAACCATTGACTGCTCTTGAGGAAACCCAATCGCCTTTTCCAATAATCAAACTTCTCTTCTTGGATGCTAATGTGGCTGCACTAGTTGCGGTAGCTACCGCAAGAGCAAAGCAAATAGTGAATAAAATAATAGAATATTTCATGTTAAGAATTTATTGATATGAGAGAGATGGAAGGAGGAGGTAGAATAAAGATTATAAGTTATTTAAAGAACTTTATCTTTAGGCGTGTTCACACCGCGATAAGAAGTTTATTCTTTAGCGGTTTGTGGTGAGAAAAAGTAAAGGAATGTAAAATTTTTTTCTTTTTTTTTAAAAAAAAAAAAAGGTTAGGAAAGGGAGAAAATATTTTGTTGAGATAAATATCATGAAGTATTGTTTGCGAGTTCATTTTATTTCTTTTTCACCTCGTTGTGGTCACATGCTTTATAGTTAGTTGCATAATGCTCAATCTTTCGGTTAATTATTAAATGTAACCTTTTGTGCTTTAAAGAAGAAAAATATTAAACTCTCTTTTTCACGCGTCGAGTGATATAAATCCTCCTCGAGTACGAAGCTGCGACAATTAATTTTTACTATTTTTACTGGATGATTGACAATAAATTAATTGGTTAAATCTAATGCAAGCTGCATTGAATAATCCAGTGAAAAATGTCGATTAATAAAAAACAAAGCAAAATAGCATGTACCTTTGATCGTTTTTATTATTAAAAAAGTTTCTACGCTTTACAGTATATTAAATTGATACGGATTAACCGAAAACTTTAAATGCAAACTTATGTTTCATATCACTCGTTTATAAAAAAAATATAGAAAAAAAAAAGAGAACAAAATTCGATCTATTATATTTTATATTTTTACAAAAAAATAACAATTATATATTTATTTTTTTTATTTAAAAGTTTAATTTCGGAAAATTCCGTATTTTAATTGGTACTTTTTTGTTTTAAAAATTTCACTACCCTTTAATTAATGCACGAGCAATATTATACGCAAATGTGGATTTAATACCTGCATCATGTTGTTGAGATTACACTGTTTGTCATACAGTGAAATATCCTTTGGCTTTTTTTTTTAATTGGCAATTCTCTAAATTTTCGAGTAACTTTCAAAAATAAAGTCAAATAACTATGGTTTTTATAAACCTATAAACCACGTCTTTGTGCAGTAAAAGAAACTTCAGAAGTGATATACTTAAAGTTTTTGGAATCAAGTAATTTACATTTGATAGTTGATAGTTGATACAATAAAAAATTTTTTTTTTTTTTTTTAAGTTTAAAAAGATTTATCACATCAATTTACGTTATTTGACGATATTTATTTCCTGTAATAAATAAATGAATATTTTTATGAGTCATCAAAAGAAATAGCATTAAGCAGCAAATTATAACATAATTCAGGCTACTAAAGTTTACATATTATTACGTTTTCAACATTATGCATGTACTGCGTACAATTTGTGGTAACAACGACATAAATAGCGTTCAGTTAATTATATATTACTAAATACTTTCTCTACATGATATAAATTTCAATACAATTTAATTATAACGACCTATTAGGTTATTGTATAATTTAAGCTGCAAGGTATTGTAGTATTCTAGTCTTCTATTAAAGAAAATTCTGATGCCAAATATGCGAGGATACACAAAAATAATAGCAATTTGAAATGTGACGATTTAATTAAATATTGGTAAATCTTGTGAAATAAGATGGTTATGATGTTTTCAGACAGACATGATTCGATGATTCGTGGAGATTTTATGTGTCAAATAAATAATTTTCACTCAAACTCCGTTTACGATTAATTTTAAACTTATCTAAATCAAAGAACCCGTAAAATTTTTAATCCTAATAATCTCGTTCTCACAAAAATGTTGGACTTCCCACGAGCATACAAGCTCCTAATAGATTTCAAATATGATGTATTAATGTGACATGAATAAACAACGTGGTCATATGACTGATACTGGGACTAACATAGTAACATTGACCTTTATTTAATAAAACAAATTAACCATTAATAAAAATGACAATTATACGGGATACTATATTTTATATATAAGTGAACAACAAAACTAAATATTAAACATTTTTTCTAGGTCAATCGAGATATCTACCAAGGTCAACTGAAACTTCTCCAATAGGTGTACTAAAACCTGTTTCTTTTCCTAATTTGATACCAAAACCTTCTACTTTAATTTCCATAGTGTTACTATTGACTGACATTCCTGTATCAAGATTTAATCCAATTTTCGATTTAATGCCTGCACCCTCAAATTCCACCAAACTTACCCCTAATTTTTCCATACAATCTACACCATCCTTATTTATTCCAAATTTATTTTCTACTGTAGCATTTAAAAATTTGAAATCCATATCTTCATCTTTAGCTCTAAATACCGTACTACTGAGTTTTGAACTTATTTTTAGATCATCTGACTTAACCGAACCTTTACTTTGAAGAAAAGTAAGTTCATCTTTTTGAATTGATGATTTAATACTTGCACCGATTTTTCTTTCATTGTTTCCACATGAACCTGAACAATCTACTTCAACTTTAGCTGTGGAACCATCATCAAAATCTGATTTAACCATTCCTTTCATTCTTCCTTCAATATTAAAATCATTACTCACATTATCCCATGAAGCTGAACCATCTGCTTCAATTTTAGCTTTAAGATCGTCAGTATCCAATTCAGCCATTCCTCTCGCTTTTGCTTTAAGTTTATAATTATTATTTTTAATATCAAATAAACCTGAACAATCTGCATCAAAATTAGCTTTTATATTATCTGAATCAACCATTCCTCCCATATTTGCTTCAAGTTTATAATTATTATTTTTAATATCAAATAAACCTGAACCACCTACATCAAATTTAGTTTTGACACCATTAATATCTGAATCATACATTCTTCTCGCTCTTGCTTCAATTTTAAAATCATTATCATCTTTATTAGCAATTTCAGCTGAAAATTTAGATTCATAATTATTATGTAACATATGATCTAAACTAGCAGAACCATTAGATCTATAATTTCTAATCGACGTACGTTCTGAATTAATAATTTCAGCAGAACCCTTAAATGGGGTATTATTTTTATATGTCGTAACACAACCTGAATCAGAAATCTTGGGAGTATAATTTTTATAAGGTGTAACACGATTTGATTCAGATGGAGTATATAAAGGAATTGATGATTTAAATTTTATTTCAGATTCATAACTAGTTTTAGTTGTGGAATAATTATTATTACGATCTCTATATGAAGTTTTTTCTTCAAACGCAGATCTCCTTTCAGCTGAAATCAATAATTTATTTTTATAAAATGGTCTATCATCATCATCATCATAAAATGGCATCTTTACGAAGTGTATAGCTATTTAAAATTTTTTTGAAAGAAAGAGAAGAAGATAAGAAAATTTGAGAGTGGTATATAAAGCATTTGAGATTATACAACTCGAATCATCATTGAACGGAGCGGATAGTATTGACATTATCCGTAGGATACATTTCTGAAATATCATATCGTAAATGAAATTACATAAGTGTAAAATTTATGGGTAATTACCAAAAATAACATAGCATTAAGGAATTAATTTGAACTAACTTGTATATTAATGGTTCCAAAGATTTTAATAAATGCTTAAAAGGATTAAACTTTGAACGTAAAAAATTAATAATATTCTACATGGACATTAATTGTGTATTCATTATGAGCGTAAGCTGACTAATATTTATAAAAATGAAAATGGAAAATGAAAAATGAAAAATGATTAATGAAAAATGAAAAATGGAAAATGGAAAATGAAAAATGAAAAATGATAAATGAAAAATGAAAAATGGAAAATGGAAAATGAAAAATGAAATATGATATATGAAAAATGATAAATGATAAATGATAAATGAAAATTAAAAATTAAAAATGAAAAATGGATAAAGTAGCGGCATTTTTATAATTTCTTTTTTTTTTTGTTCGAAAAAAGATAAGCAAGTGGTACGCGAATATGCGGAAAATCCGAAAGCGAAGATCGTATCTTATATATGAAAGATCAACGTTGTCAAATAAAAATTTCTTGAATATGCAAAAATAATAAAAAAAAAAAAGATATCTTATCAAATTTTCCGCGTGGAGAAGTGAATCAAAAAAAGAAAAATTAATTTCCGAATCCGAGATCATTGATAATTTACGTAAATAGTAAATAGTTTCCTTTTATTCTTTAAATCTGACTCAGTAAAATTTCAACAATATAAAATATAGTTAGTATATGTATATCGATCAATTCTTGGCAATTGAGCAAAGAAAAAAAAAAGAAATAGGATCAAATTTATTTGTTACTTTCCCACGTAGCGGAATTTTTTTATAACAAATTTTTCCCACACCAAGATTAAAATTTTCCGTATCGATATAGGCGTAGCACACATTATTAGTATCACGTTATCTGACAGGTGATATACATAATAATAATGATTAAGTAATGTAATACGTTTAACGTTTAAAAAATATTTCTATCATATATTTCATATCTATAATGACAAAGATACGAAGATACATAGATCGAATGAAGTAACCATTGTCCTTCAAGTATATAAAGATAAGAATAATTCGATAAAAATCTTACGTTTTTTTTAGTAGTTACTCTACGAGACGCAATCTTTAACTCTTTTGATAAGATTACGATTATCCATAGTCAGAAAAAAACGGGTGATAAAGAAGATACGAATTTGATAAGTTATCAATGATATTTAGAACAGTCTTCTAGAAAATTTGGATCTTCAAAACATGTGAATTAAGCATGTCAAACATTTCGTAGATAAGCAATTTGTGACCAAATAAACAAAAATGAAAAAAATTTTTTTTTTTATTACCTATCAATTTTTAAGATAAGTGTCGTTCCACTTTTTGTATTTGTTTTATTTTAAGATCAGAACTTTCTTTTTTTTAAAAAAAAAAAGATAAATAAATAAAATAAAATAAAATAAAATAAAAATAATAATTAAACTAATTATAGAAATTAAGTTGTAGCCTATGAGAAATGAAATTTTTTTTTTAAAATTCAATCCATTTTACATCGTTACTACCGGACGGATACGGAACTCGAAAACGTATTCATATGTAAACGCATATACAGTATTAAAAAAAGGGGTGATTGCTCCCAGTAAATAATATAATTTCTTTTTTTTTTAAATAATACTTAATCGAACTCACCAATAATTTATCAATGATAAGTAATGAAGTACCAAAATGGAAAAACTGTTTATTGAAAATCATAAATAGATAAGCTAAAAACAGCAAGAACTGCGTTATTAAGCTGATCAATAACCTGGAAATCGGGCACGGGTGACTTTTAGCTGATAAGATAAAAAATTAATTATATCACGAAAGATAAGATAAATAATGATAAGTAATTAAGTAAATTAAATCCAACTTCGTTCTGTTCGTTCTAGACCAGAAAATAAAAACTTGTATTAATGTAATATATATATATACTCAATATATATAATAATATGATCATCAGATCATGATCACGTAAAAAACCTACAAACAAAGATTTTGATAATTGCTATTATAAATCATACAATGCATATGTAATACAATGTAAAAATGCAATATGCACGTCTAGACCCCCGTGTACTAATTTCGCGTCAATGTTTTCAAAATTAAATGCCCAAAATTTCCCTTTCGTACGTATCAAATTTTGATCTCTAAAAAAAGAATGTTATATCCATCTTTTTCAATTAATTATCTTTATTTCGTTGATTCAATCTTCTTACTAAAAAAATATAAAAAAAATAATGAATTTCATTCAAAAAGTTTAAAAATAAATTTTATTTTATTTTATTGTATTATTGCATTTGTAAAGCAGTTTATTCCTAGTTTGCCTATCAATGAATAATATATTACTTAATCATTGTTTAATAAATAAATATTAATGTCAGATTATTTGTAAACCGTGTTCTATTTAATTTTATTCGAGAATCTGCCGTGAATCTTATCTTTTTTTTTTTCTTTGGCGCTGATACTAGATAAGGTGATCCACAAAAATTACCGGTATCACACGAAGGTTTACAAAAAATAAAAAAAAAACCCTTAAATAAGCCATTTTTTATCCTGAAGATCGGAACCTTTGCTTTTGTCTTTTATTATATATTTTTTAACGACAAAAAAAAAAGCAAAAGTCCATAATTTGAGTTTGAAACGAATTGACATTTTAAAATTATCAAAATGATTAAATTATTTGATAAACCTTCTAAAGAACTTTCTGTTAATCCTGATGACCAAAAGGCAACTGAGATTAATCTCATTCAAGGGAAACGTCCTTATATGAGAGCATTTCATTTTTCATGGCTTTCCTTTAATATAGCTTTTACGGGCTGGTTTGCAATTGCTCCTCTTTTACCTTATATTAAGGAAGATCTAAAATTAACCCCTGAACAAGCCGAAGATGGAAACATTGTAAATGTGGCCTCCGCTGTATTTTTCCGTTTTCTTGTTGGCCCTTTATGTGACCGTTTTGGCCCAAAACGTGTTATGGCTCTATTGCTTATATTAGGTTCTATACCTGTAGGACTTAGTGCTTTAGTACGTACCCCTGTTGGTTTAATTGTTGTACGTTTCTTTATTGGTATTCTCGGTGCTACTTTTGTTCCTTGTCAATAATTCTGGACAACTCAAATGTTTGGTAAAAATATTGTTGGAAGTGCTAATGCTATAGTAGGAGGTTGGGGAAACATGGGTGCTGGTATTACTACTATATTTCTGGCTTTGATCGCCGCTGGTTTTCATTCTGCTGGTTTAAGTTCTAGCTTATCATGGCGCGTTTCTTTAGTTATTCCTGCTGTTCTTTGCTTCACTGTTGGTTTATGTGATTATTTCTTCACTGATGATTGTCCTCAAGGTGATTGGTTTAAACGTGACCTTTCCCCTAAACAAACTGCAGAAATTCATATAGCTAATAATGAAAAGAAGCCCAATACAGATGATGCAAATAAAGTTGTAACTGACACAGATTCTGAAAAGAATGTTCCGGCTCCTACTGTACCAAAACGTGATCTTAAAACTTTCTTATTAGCACTTAAAGATCCAAATGTTATACTTTTAATGATTATGTATTCTTGTTGTTTTGGTGTTGAACTTGCTGTAGATGGTGCTTTGACTTTGTTTTTTTATGAACAAAAAAAATTTAACCTTTCCAAAAAGGATGCTGGTTTGATCGCTTCACTTTTTGGTTTGATGAATTTATTTTCACGTGCCACTGGAGGTTTCCTTTCGGATTTTGCTAATGAAAAAATGGGAATTCGTGGTAGACTTCTTGTTCAATTTATAATCTTCTTTTTGGAAGGTTTATTCCTATTTATATTCCCATATACTTTAAATAGTTTAGCTGAAGCTATTGTTATCTTAATTTTATTCAGTTATTTCACTCAAGTAAGTTATTATAATTTATTATTTACTGAATTTATTTTATTTATACACGAGCACAATTTACTAAATAAAATTTATTATTTTTAGGCCGGTTGTGGGACTTCTTTTGGTATTGTACCTTTTGTAAATCCAGAACTTATGGGTGTTATTTCAGGTCTAGTTGGTGGTGGTGGAAGTATTGGTGGTGCTGTATTCGCCGCAGTATTCAAAAAATTTCCTGCAAGTTCAACGCCATTTACGATACTTGGAATTGTGGTAATGGTAGTATCATTTACATCATTTTTATTAAAGATTGAAGGAAGAAGATTACTTGAATTTAGAAAAAAATAAAAGAAAAAAGTAAAATTTAATACAGTATATGCAATACTGTTATATAAACTAGTATTATATTATGAAATTTTTAATACACTAGAAAAAAAAGAAAAAAAAAATGTATACATTTATGTACTTTTAGTTTTTTAAGCAAACAATTTTTTTTGTTTTAGTTATAATAATTTATATGTAATTTATTTTTTTGTACATTATTGATATTTAATTTTTTTTTTTTTTGTTAATATTAAATACGTGATTCCAAAATGTGTATATATATATTTATTATATACATACGTATATATAAATAATTTACGGGATTACATTTAATTAAGGTAATTATAAAATATTTTTTTAAATAAAAAAAAATACCGATCAATGGACTGGTGTCCTGATGTTTCTTTATTATCAAATGTGTGATATTGTGATATATTATATATAATCTTCGATCCACCTCTTTTTTCCATTTACTTTTTACTTTATAATTAAGATCATGAATCAGAAGATTCTTTATAATAAACGGTATTTATTTTTACGGAGTGAGTTCGGCATTGTTTTGTATAACTAGAAAGAACAGGTTTTAGGATTGATATATACAGATTTTAGTGATTATTGATTTGGACTTATAAGACTTATAAGGCGGATCAGGAAAAGATTCAAAATCATCCTGAAATTGTAGATTCCAATTCTTGACGACTTGACGACTATTCATAGCGAAGATCCCGATTTTTTTTTAAATACAAGTTGTTAATGGCAAATCTCGAATCATCCGTTTTATTAGAAAAATCTCATATATCAAGAAATTGAAAGTATATTTATTATTGTTCCATTCCAGATCAAACTCCAGTATATTGAAAATTATCAAGATTGCCTGCGTAAGATAAAATTAATATTTTTGAAGTACAAATACTTCATATTTCTAAAACAAATTGTTTTCTAATTTAAATATTTCTGATTTTCATTTGTTTCATTATTTAAGACAGTTTAAAAATATTTAATACTGTAACATATACTAAAAAAGTATTTGTACAGATAAAGTATAAAATCTTCAAATTCTATTAATCTTGATTCTAAAATCAAATAATTACCTATAAAATAAAATTTTATAATTTATAAATGCATTATTTCTAAAACTTACAGATCTCTACCCTTAAATTTGCTAGAAAAATTAAAGGACTTTATTATGTGTCCTTAACCTAGACCCCGGTTTAGTCCCCTCTCCTTTTAAATATGATTGGTCCAAAAATATAATTATCGCAAAAATACTTTTAAACTTTTTATTTTAAAAATAAAATAAAAAATAAAAATAATAAAATCTTACGGTGCATACAGTCTAAAGCCAGATAATTTTAAAGAAAAATTTTTTGTTGTTATAAAAAATTTAAGCCTATTATTTGAATATTTGATAGAATATTACTTTTTTAGTTATAATAGCAGAGAGTTTTTTCCAGTTGGATTAATTCGATCATAAAATCTATTATTTTAAAATCTTATTAAATTTGGCCATCATAAATTAGGCTGGAATGATACTTTCAATGATAATTCCAGTCAAATTTTTGATTTTGCTGCACAAAAACCTTTAATTCAAGAAATTGTTGAAATTTGAGGTCATAAGTCCAAAGTTTAGTTGTAAATTAAATTTATTGAACAATTTTGGGTGCAGGCATGTAGCAAAACAATATATACAAAATAATTGTAATTATACTTTAAAGGTTACTTTAAATTCAATATTATTTGAAAATATTCTGAATAGAATTGATGATATAGGAATGGATTGAAGGAAATAAAAGCTTTATACAGTTAAACTCAATGTACTAATATCCTATATAATATATACTAATAATTTCCTATACCAATAAATTTTCACTATTCCATTTTATATTTAATAAAAAAAACCTTATCATATATAAATTTATAATATAATATATAATTAAGTATGTTATACCACATATTATATTAACTAATGCAAATATTCAAATTTTTATATATGCCAAATGTTCCATTTTTTAAAAATGTTTTTTAATAAAAAAAACCTACAAAATAATTTGTATTTTATACAAATTATAAGAAAATTTATCAAAAAAAAACTTTTTTAATTACTAAATAAGAATTATTAACATATATTTAAAAGTATTATGATTTTCAAAAAATACAATAACTTAAAAATAAAATTTACCAACTTATATAATATTAAATAAAATATTATTTCTAATATTTTTTTTAAAAAATGGCTTTTATTAATCTAAATTTATAAGAATTAAATAAATAAAGAAAAAAGTAGATTTATTTTTTTTTAAAAGGTTCTTTTATTATGAATTACAAATATGCTTTTCATAAGTTTTATAATTAATAATAATATTTTATATAAAAAAGCTAAAGCAATTTAAAATTATTAAATTTATTAAATTTTTAATTTCTAATAAAATGGATAAATAAATTTAAAAAAGGTAATTACTTTAAATAATAGACAGTTAAAATTACCAGTATTATATAATACTATTTACATAATTTATTATTACAACAACTAAATAATGAAATTTATAATTTTACTTTAATAGAAAGTAATATAATAAGTTAATAACAGATAAATCTATTAGTAATATTAAAGTTAGTACTACTTTTTTTATATGGAAAAATGCAAAAATAAAACTTAATCAATATGCAAAGTTTTCTGAATTCAAATTAATAAAGATAGAGTTATGTGATGTAAAATATTTGAATGCAATTTCTTGGTAAAATAGTTTTTAATCAAATTATTAATATAACTTATCAACAGAAAAGAGTGTTTAAAAAAATTATATATTTATGGCACATAAATCTTATTAAACCCAAATTATTAACAGAAAATAAGTATTACAAGTATTATTAGCTAATACAATCATTTTATGATTTCTAATATATATTTATATACATTTAAGTATTATAGATTATTAGTAAAAGGATTGAATTTTATATTACTAATAAAGGAAATATAAAATTAAAGCAAATTTATCTATTATTAGTTGCAAGTTTTCTTTTACAAAAGAGATCTTTATAATGCAATTTAAAAATTTAAATCATCATTTACTAATTGATATGAAGATATTCAAAATATAATTAATAAATTATTTGAGTTAAAAAACTATGAATTTAGGCGAATAATTTATATAAACTTGATCCTTTTAATAATTATTTTATGGGTTTATTTTGAATGTTATTCAATCAATACCAATGCCTTTTACAATATAATAATATTATACAAATAGATAATACATGTTAAACCAAGGTTTAATATATATTTAATGCTTTTAGTTGTAATTGATAATAATATTAAAAACTGTCATATTGCTAAAATTACTGGAAAAACTAAAGGGTTTTGGCAAGTTAGCAAAATGCTAAAAAAATAAAACTTTACCAAAGCTATATAAAAGTCTTATTAAAAAATTGGCAAAACTTTGAAAAAAAACAATACTTGTTAAAATTTATTATAAATATTAAAACTGCTAAATCTTACTGAAATTATAGTAAAATTATAGTAAAATCTTAGAGAAACTAATCATAAAATTTTGGAAAGATTTAGGTAGACAACTTTACTTGTTGCTTAATGTTTATCAGAAGATAAGATAACTGAAAATTACAAATAATTTCTTAATTGTCTTTTTAAAGCAACTAATAATAATCTATTTATTTACTTATTTTCTAATACAAATTTTGCTTTAATAAATGCAATATCATCAAAGTTTTCTGAAATATATCATTTTCTTTATATCTTTTATATTCAAGAAAATTTACAAAAAAATTTAGCAAGTAAATTAGGTAAGAATACCAATTATTTTATAAGAATTTTTACATATCTAAAATAATTTATTTGTAGATTGCCGTTAAATACAATTACTTGAAAAATATTTACAAACCTAAAAATATTTTAAGAAAGCTTATACATATACATATTACATAATTGTTAAAAAAAGGAGGAAATAATTAAAATTTTATATTACATTTAATAAAATCATATGATTTATAAATATTATAATTTGATTGGTTATTAAATCTAACAAAGGAGGAGGAAGTAAATTTATATTAAACTGAATATTTTTTTTTTTCGCAGCGCATTTGCAGTTTTATTAAAGTAAAAAAATAAAGAAAATATATACAAAGTAAAATTCCCTAATAACTATTCTAATATAATTAAACTACAAACCACTCATCATACCAGTAGTACTCCACGTGTGCACTATCGAGTGATCGTTTGACTCTGTAGGTAGACTTCGTTTAGTAATAGGTCATCTTAGCCATAAAGGCCCTATCTTCAATGTCTGGTGATTACGGGACCCAATTAAACTGAATATTATGTAATATATAATTGTTATTAGGTATAAGCAAATGCTATCAAATTAAATCTTTCATAGCAAATATTTAAAGTACACAAAAAGTTAAAGTTATAAATCAATTAATTAAAAAAAGTATTAGTAATTAGAGATGTAAATGAAACTGAAATATTTAGTTATTTGACAAAACTAAAATAATTTGGGCATTTAAAATTAAAAGATGAAATGCTAAAATTCAATATTTCATAGTATTTCCATGGATTTTTAATTATAAAAATTACTTGTAAAATTATTATAATATTTTTAAAAAGACTATTATATACAATATAATTTTATATATTTTAATTTTATATAATTAAAATTAAAATTAAAAATTATTATTATATAGTTTATTAATTAATAATAAAACTGAAATTAGTTAGTAATAAATTTAAAATTTTTGGTAAAAAGAGTTTTGGCAGATATTATTATTTATATAACTATTTGGATTTTAATAAATTTTATATTATTGGATTTTTTATAAAACTTTAAAATTTTAATCAATATATAGTTAACAAACTATATTAAAATAATATTAAAATAAGAGTATTGCTAATCTTAACCGGGGGGATAATTCCTCCCTCCCTTAAAAATTTAAAAAAAATAAACTTTTTTTATGAAATATATAAAATAAATATAAGTGGATATTAATCGCATAAAAATTTGGCAATTTTTGATTTTAAAAAAAATTTTTATCATGAAAAATACAATTTAACTATAAAATCAAAATTATGTAATTTTCTCAAAAACCATCTGAACAACTACCCTTTTTAACTTAATAAAACCTTTTCTTTTCATAAATTTACATATAATCTTATTCTTAGATTACTATACAAGTCAATATTTTAATTAAAAATTGAAATAAAGGGAAAGTGGAGGAAAATTCCCCTAGGTTAAGTTTAGTAATTCTCTTAAAATAATATTAAAATGATATTATTTGTAGATTTTAAGTTTTTATAAAGTTTATTTCAATAAGAAAAATTTAATGATAGTAAAATTGCATTTTTAATATTAATATTAGCTGAGTTATTATAAATTTAAAATTTAATTATATAAGTTAGATAAGAGATGTTTGGGATTCTTTTATAGTTATCTAAGAGTATTTTAAATTTTTAGAAAAATCTATTAAATTACCATCTAATAAAAACTAAAATATAATTTTCTAAAATTATTTCATTTTAAAGAAAAAGAGAAAGTAAATAAATACTAATTATTTCTTTCTATTCAAAAATAACTTCAAGTTACTTTTTAAAGATATATAAATAAATAAATCAGTATTTTTATTTTTATTTTTATTTTAATGATTTATATATGCTTTATTGATATTGAGTTTATATATCATACAAACAAATTATCATGAGTTATATCCATCCAGAAGGATGCAATCATTAAAAAAATCAGTATTTTTATTTTTATTTTTTTTATTTTTAATTTTAAAAATAAATAAAACTAATATTTTTTTCTTTATTTTTTTTATAAGAATCTATTTCTAGATAGTAAATGCAAAACTATAAATATATTGGTATGTTGATGATAAATTAAAGAAATATTACTAATATTTCTTTCTTTCTTATTTTATAGAAAATAGAACCAAACTTTTAGGCTATATATAATAATAAATTATAATTATTATTATAATTTTAGAAAAAGTATTATTATCTGTTATATTTAAATTTTTTTTAATAAAACTTGAAATTAATAATATTAAAATATGTATATATTTTAAAAGTAATAAATAGTAAAATTATATTGAATTTTTGGTAAATTATTTAAATTTTAGTAATATAATATAAAATGAATTTTAGTAAATATATAAATCTGTTTAATGTAAAATTAAATTTCTTTTAATAATATTCCTTCAAAATATTATTTTTGCATATAACTTTACTTAAAGTAATACATTTTTTTCATATAATTTTTCTATTAAAAATACCTGTCTTGTCTTTTTAAATGAACATGTTAACTGCTTTTACAAGCAATGCTAAAGGTTTTGCTTAACCTAAGTGTGCCTATATGGATATTAATAATCAATAACTACCTTATACTAATAAAGGCAAAGCTAATGCTTTTCTTGATCAAATGGAAATTTTGCTTGAATTAATAAATTGCCAAAGAAACTTATAGTACTTCAGTAAATTCTACTATATTACTTCAAAATGTATTTTAACACATTCTATTCAATACTTTTAAAAATCCTTCAATTCCAGAAATCACTATACAAAATATTGATTTGGAAACCTAATTCCTATTAATTGTACTATATGTCTTAGTCTGCAATTTTCCTTTTAAATATTTGTATCAGCAAACTTAATTATATCCTTATACAATTTGAGTTTTATAGAAACTGCCACATTTGAAAGCTTAGAAAAGTTAAATATCTTACTGCAAAAATACTTTTTTTGCATATAACCTTTATTATAATTATCCAGAATGCTATATTAAATATATAGACTTACTTAAGATCATTACAGTTTGTAATTCCCACACATCACTATTATATATAGTTGTTAGCATTCCTAATGATTTTACTTCTAACTCAGCATTTATGATAAAGAAGTGACTACTAAAATAGGAAGGATCTAAGTATATGTAGGTAAGGTCTAATTCACCTTTCAGTTCACCAATTAGTACTATAGACAAGCTAAAAATTGAACTTAAACATCTATATCATAATATTGATTATTACCTATTGACTACTATTAATATATGATTCAATTGTATTTTGTAAGAACTGTAACTACCACTGTAAGGTTTTTAGTATAGTCATATAGTGCAATTCCAAAAGATATCCATCTCAAACTACTTTATTTTAATTATACTATAAAATGTCCAATCTTAAATATAGCTTTTAAATTGAAGTTCTAGATAAATGTTGCTTGTTTTTAAATAACATTTACATCCTTCTTTTTCAATTTTCCAATTTTCTACATTAAAATTAATACAAGACAACATATTATAAAAAGGCCAACCCAATTTAATTTTAATTATCTGTTTTACATATCATTCTTCCTCCTTTTTTTCAGATTTAAGGCATTTAAAAATATATAATTTGGGGCAGAATTATTTTTTAATTTTAGCCAAATTATTAATTTAAACAACCTCCATAACCCAATTCAAGCCTGAAGAACGAATGCTTAGGGTACAAATAATCCAATTTCAAACTGTAAATTTATTTCTTATTTATATAAATCACCAATATCACCAAATAGAAAAAACAATAAATTGCTCCATGAACCAAATTAAATAGATGAATAATTTAAACATATATTATATAGTCTGAGAGTCCAAAAGAATTTTTGAATGATCTAGCAATGTTAAGAGGGATCGCTCCGATTTCTTTGCTTCCAATAATGCGGTTAATTCCAGCAACACACCTTGTGTTTCGTCAGGATTAACAATCCATAATGTACAACATTGGTGTCTTGTAGCAAAATCATTTCCAGTAGATAAGAACTAAAACAAAAAATATATTAATAGACAAGACTTATGTATGAATATAAATAAACTAAGTTAATTGCGCTTACTTGATCTCCTACATGCAAAGTTTCTCCTGGTGTTGCGCCAAGAAACTGCTGCAGTATTTGCACTCCTATAAGTTTATTCCCACTAAAAGAGCGAGAAATATTAAAATGTATTCGTTGAAATGGCTATAAATATAAAATTAAATCACGCTTACATATCTACCCAAACGTCACTTCCACCATTGAATGCGCAAAATGGTAAATCATTCTTCTTTCCCCATGGTGAATTTAAATAATTCACAATTCGATGTTGCGTAGATAGTACACATTCGTCCTACAATTTAACAACCAATAAAGACGGCAAAATTCCAAATGCGATAAAAAAAATCCAAAAGAAAATTAAATATACCAGTTGTTCTCTAAATATCTTTACATTGGGTTTAGGCACAATACCTGTATAATAAAGGAAAATATTAGAATAGAAATCCCGAATTAAAAAAGACATGATAATATATTATTGTAATCTTCTCAGTATCACCACTCTTTCCACTCCACAACTTGTCACTCGTATCTTTTCATATTATAAAATAAATACTCGCCAACTGCTTTGCTTTTACGTAACACGGTACACTGCAATTTCATTTCGTCAATACATCTTTGCAAATTTTCTTGGGCTACATCTAAAATAGCATTGATCTGATCCGAACTCCAAGAAAGAATATTTTGCGGCTGATATTTACTATATTTCATAAAATTATGTTAAAAAAAAAATCAAAATTATATTTATACCTCCTTGTTTATCTGGTATTATAAAACTTACGTTTCAGGAAGATATTTTAGATGATAATCTTCTTTACATTGAAAAAGGTAATTGCATTCACCTCCTACAAGAAAATGAATTATAAATCGACGACGGGAAACTTTACAGCCTTTATCGATAACTTACCCAAAACGAAAAATTTTTCACACATGTTCTTTGACAATCGTGCGTTTTCAAAACCTTTTAAAAGTCCAGATAACCTTTGTTCATATCGCAATGCGTCTCCTGGATATCCGGCGGCTGTAACCACACAAACGATTAGATTATATTTTAATAAGCTCACAAGTAAATTCACTAAAGCTGAGTCGTGTTCAAAATCTTGTCCATCATCATAAAGTGTCATATCCCCATCGCTAATTTAAACGAAAAAAGGTTAACATAAATATTATGGATATAACAACAATTAATTAATAAACCTACAATGTTATTAATTTGAGTTTTGGAGCAATTGCAGTAATCTAAAGATTCTTTAAAAGTAAGTAATCTGAAACCAATAATCAATTTAATTTAATTAAATACCTGAGCTGTGTTTAAAATCCTACAACAAAAAAAATAATAATTAGCAATTAATGAATGGAAGATTGAAATATATATGTTTTAAAAAAGTAAAAACCTTCGAATGTCGTTGAAACTTGGAGGTACAAATCTACGTGCGGCAATAGAATGTTTAGCATTAGCTGATAAAAATGACTCGCGTAGCGGTAATTGAGTATGAAAAGTTGATATAGATGGAACAAGTCTTTTAAGTCTTGATTGATCAGGGACACCTAATACGTGGATACCCAAATAAGTAGATATTAACAACAACATTGCTGGGAATAAAACAAACGATTGAATAAAATTATTATTTTTTTTCTTTAAAACCTTTAGCTTGTTTTCGAATATGTTCCTATTTAATAAGTTTTTATTAAAATCTTAGAATCTCTGCATCATTTTTATTTCATGAATCTCAATACTTACATTTATCAATTCTTCAATACTAGATAGAATATCACAATACCTAGCAACATTTGCATCCATATGATATTCTTCGTCTTTTTCAGTTGGATCATCGGTTTGCGGAATTGGCTTTGCATGTAGAACGAATGGAGTCATGAGCATTCCCTATTTGCACATTAGGTTTAAAAATGACTTCAATTTTATCATTATTTAACGTTTCCATGAAACGGACTTTACAAATGTATACCTTTATGAATTCAATAAAAGGATCCCGCTTATGTGCTCGGAGAGCATAATTTATCTTTTCGAAAGGCAAGAATAGCGATTCACATTTTATTTGTAATATTAGAACGCAAGTTTCAGGGGAAAAAAAAGGTATGCTCTAACTCACAGTATACATAGAAGTCATTTTCCCGTTATTTCGGCTTTATGGATCGAAAAAATGCTTGCTAAACATTTTTATTATTTTCTCACATTAACTGCAAGAAGTTAAAATCCATCTATAGATTAATTACATAATACATAAATAAATCTTTATTTGGCAATGAACACTCATTCTCGATTTTTATCAAATCACAGAGAATTGTAAATAGCAGAACTAATTCCAGTCAAATGATCATTATGCAATACGCTCAAACTTTTTAAAAAACAATACAAAAAAGTTGGTTCAACGAACCTCTTTATTAAAAAAAAACAATTTCAATTAGTGTACAAATCATATATGAATTATGATGACGATGATAATGGTGATTAATGAAAATGTCGAGAATTCATGATTAAAGTAAAATAATATATTTTTTGTACAGCCGTAAAAAAAACCGTCCGGGTTTGAAAAGTCCATATTTCTATTTTCTATTAATATGAAACTCTAAAAAAGAAATATTTATTTCTTTTTATTCCTATTCTTTTCGGTTGTGGGAAATCTACCCTTTGATGGGCAGGCAACACCTTTCCAGGTAATTTTAACAATTCCGTCATCTGGATCTGCAATGCTAGCAAACGACGATTTCGTCAAGTCAATATTGTTTTTTGGGCAGCCTGCACATTTATCGATAATTTTCACAACAACACTCTTCTTGTTCTTAGGATTTGTTATCTTAACACATTGATAACACATATTATTGTTGGACATGGCGCCGATTCTGTCAGATGGTTTTGCGTTATAATTGGGAATTCCATCACGACCGTAACACGCAGCGTTATTGAGTTGATCATCTTCGTAGAAGGTAATTTTAGAAGTAGTATCTCGTTTTTTGAGAAGTGAGAATTCCATTCTTCTGACAACCCCTTCTTCGGCGGTAATAATTGTGAAAGCGCTGAGTGCAAGAATGAATGCAAGTAAGACCTTCATTGTGAAAGGTAATTAAAAGATGAAAAAAGGAAAGAGGTAAAGAAAAATGAAGGTATTAAAGGATTGAAAAAAAATTCCGGACGGCTAAAAAAAAAGTTGGTAGTTTGCACAGGAAGCAAACAATTTTTTTTTTTTTAAAAAAATTTCGATTATTTTTTTTTTTCCATGAATAGAGGGAATTTATTGAAAATTAACTAGTACAGAAATTTTCAATTGCAACGTTACATGTCGGCTATAAAAAAAGATGAAATTATTTTTTTAGAAAGAAATATTAAACCGTGTGCATTTCACAAAGTATCATTTGCATTGTTATTTGACATAATTGACATTTTAGGATATATGTAAATAACTTTTTGCTATAAATGTAGACAATTTCACAAAGAAGAAAGTTCTATAATTTAACAACACAACAAACATTAAGGAAAGCTCCACGAGCAAAATCTTGCCTGCCTGGAAAATTGTGTAATAAATAAGTCGGAGTTTTAAAACGGACCTATTGAAGATACAGATTTGTCTTTTTGTAATTATTGAAATATTGAAGTATAGATATTCGTTCTTCTGACCAAAATAAGATTACAAAGATAACCTAACATGCATTTATCCCAATGTATGTAACAAAATACGTAATAAATTTTAAGGTCCGGATGAGTCATATAAGTAGATTTATTAGGAAAAAGTTCTATTCAAATACCAATAAACATTATAAATATTAAATTTACATTAAATTTACATTACTTTTAAAACAAAATTTGGGTTACAAACAAGAAACGAAATGATGATAGGTGAAATATTGTGCATTAATAAAATAAAAATCCGCATCAAACTATATTTTATATTTACTTGCTATAAAAATAGAATGTTGTACGGCGTAAATTAATTTATCTGGTCATAAAAAGCACAATTTTTCTGCCTCAATGTAGGCAAATTTTAGTGAAACGTCAACTTAGAGATTGTATATGCAGTTAATTAAACTTGAGAATGAATAAATGATTCTTTCATTATTCATTGAGAATCTTATATTCTCGACTTTTATTATTAAATTTACAAAGATTTGATAAATTACAAAGGATTTGATAAATACAACAATTTTGAATTAATTAATTGATTATTGATGTACTGATGTTACAATTAAAGTATATAAACGTATTCTATCAAATATACTGTGTAAATGTACATTACTTTTTCTACTTTTGGTATTTTTAAAAAATTGAAAATTTTACAGAAAACAATGATTTATTAATTGATTAAATTATAAATTTAATACTGAAATTGAAATCTCCGCGTGGATGTGCGGAAATTAAACCCTTGAAGATCCTCAAATGATTCTCATTTTATATTAAATAAATTAATGTTGACATTTCAAATTATTTCTGCGTAACTACCCTGAATTCCTAATTTTTTTTTTTTTTAAAAAAAAAAAATCTATTTAATTTATTTAATACTTAATTCATCGTAAAACTCATGTTAACTTAAAAATAAATGTAATTAGATAATTAACTAATCATTTTATACCAAAATTTATATATTTATATATTTGATTTAACTATTTATATATTAAATTGGACATTAATATATCAATTTAAAATTTTTATTCAAAATGTCGCGATCTGTATTTCGAAATTCGTTAAGATTTAAAATGACTTTTTTGCAAATCGTATAAAATCCACTTCAATATCTACCGACTTTTTTTTATGAATTTTGTACATCATTGGAATGTCAAACTTGAGTTAAATAATTGTAAGGTTTATGTTAATAAATTCTTTATATTCATTTTTTTTAATAAGTAAATGATTTTGCGAAAATAAAAACCTTCATCTCGGCAAGAACTTCGCATTCTACTCCCCAGTTTTTCGCTTTTTCACGAATATACTTAAGTATATATGAAAAAAGTAATGTTTTAGAAAATAATATAAATTAATTGTTATCAATCTTAAAGATTAAAATACCTCTCTTGTAGAACTCTTGTGTAACGAATAGACCGAAGTTGTTGCGATCTAAATGATAATAATATATATAAAATCTTTTGTCAATAATATTGATATTATTAAACCGAATTGAAAAAGTTTTCAATATACTTCAATAGCCTTTTTGAGAAAAATTATATCAATGCCTTCATTATTTTTTGTTCCAAAGGGAGGATTCATTACAATTGTATCAACTTTATTTTGTAAATGATCCGTTGAAGTGGAAATAAGGTCTGCGAGAATAAACTCTACATCAACTTCAAATTCAGAACAATTTTCTTTCGCAATTTGAAGTGCGTCATTGTCTATATCTAATGCTAAATTATAACTGTAAATAAAAGAATGCTCAATAAGTAATTGAAAATTTTCATCAATTGTCATAGAATCTTAAATAAATTGATTTACTTTGAATCAAGAAGATTTGCTGCGATACTATTCTAAAAAAAAAAAATTAAAATAAAAAATAATAAAAAAGTTAATCTATCGTATATAAACAAAAAGTATTAATTTTATCCCTACTTACCTCAGAATTCCGCAACCACAACCGAAATCTGCTATAACTTTACTTTCAATATCATCATAAACGGTATGGGCAGTATAAAGCATACGAGCTGCAAGGTGCGGCGTTGTACAATATTGTTCTAATTGAATTTTAGGTTTATCTAAAACACTTCATAATTAACATAAAATTGTAAAAATTTGGTAAATAAAAATATATTTCGAGAAAAAAATTACCAAATCCAGCGACAACCTGAAGCTCGCTTTCTAGATTTTTTAGACGCATGTTTGATCGCAAAAAAAAAAAAAATCTAAATTTTACACACTTCCAAGCCACCCATAATTTTTGAATCAGCAATTTTGTATTACAATAAAATAGTATAAGAATTCCAAAACTATATTTTAATATTTTTTGAAAATATCGTATTGAAAAGTAGTCCTAAATTTCCGATCTATCCTTCAAATTCTGGTTTTTGTGACCGTATCTTGTAACAAAGTTGTTGCCCGTCCATACGGCTGTAGGTTATTTTTTTTTCATAAGCTCACAACTGGCTGGCAGTATTTCAGGTAACTGTTGACTAGATATTTACTTTGATTTTTGATTAATACCCGTGTATTTCTGTAATAATGATTTCTTTAAATTCTTTTTCAAGTTCGTACAAATTGTCGCCATGAATGCTTTGAAAGACACCGCGACCGTAAACGAAGGTTGACGGTAACATTCCTATTCCTACTTTCTAAATTGTTTTGGAATGGACACTTACATATAATCATTTATTTTATCTTACTGTTCTTATCAGACGATGCCAATTTACTTGTTCTGATCATCGATACAAATCCATTGATTTGGACGAAATCAGCAAAATCACTATCATTAAAAGAAGCTTTGCGGCATCTTCTAGTATTCATCAACGCTCATTTGGCATTAAAGCATGACAACGAAGTAGCTGTCATTGCAAGTCATATTGGTGTCAGGTAAAATATCTTATAGTATGATTTTTGATTATATGTTAATTAAAACTTATGATCATTATCATTATTTTATTAGCAAGTTTTTATACCCAATACCTAATCCTTCTAGACTTTCCGAAAATACAGATCAGGCAGTGGATTCTAATTTGTATCAAAGGTTCAAGGTTGTAAATGACCAAGTGATAAGTAATATGAAAGATTTGTTTGAGGATGTATCAACACTGAATTCGTATCCTGATAAAGGTGTGTGAGATATTGTTATCTGATTTTTTTTTCTTAATATATTTATTACTTATACAATTTTTCCACCTTGGCAGCAAGTTCGATGATCGCAGGAGCTTTATCTATGGCCCTTTGTTGTATGCGCTTATTGTTACTTTTTAATTTGTCTAAGATCGAGAATTGATGATCATTCATATCGAACAATTTCTTTAATCTATTATCTTTATAATACAGATACTAATCGAATTATGAGAGCTGATGAGATTGGTCATATAAAACCTCGAATTTTAATTATATCCATTTCACCAGATTCGCCTTATCAATACATATCCATAATGAATTGCATTTTCTCGGCACAAAAATTAGTAAGTTTCATTGATTATAATTTAGTTCATATTTATTGATTTATTTGTATTAATTTATTGGTTTCTAATTTTAGGGAATACCGATTGATGTTTGCAAAGTTCATAGCGAAGAAACAGTCTTCCTAAAACAAGCAGCTCATTTAACTGGTGGTAGATATCTTAAACTACAAATTCCACAAGGGTTCTTGCAATTTTTGATGGTATGTTATAACGCAATACTAAATAAAAGGATAGTGTTATTTTCTTTAATTTTTATTTTTTTTTCATAGATCACCTTTCTTCCTGATCGATTTACGAGAAATTACCAATGTTTACCTGGGGAAGAAAAAGTTGATTTTAGTGCTTCATGTTTTTGTCATAAAAAAATGATAGATATTGGGTACGTTTGTTCGGTGTGCTTATCAAGTATCCTTTTTGTTTAAATAATTAATAATAAGATAAAATTATTTTAATTTCGAAAATTACCTTGATTCTTGTAATTATTTACAATAAAGTTTTTTGTCATCCATTAGAACAGTGTTCAACTTGCAGGTTTGATTTTTTTTTTCCTGTTGTTCATTATATTCTCGTAAAAACAATCAATATTTACGACCTTTTTCTTTATTTTAGATCTAGTCTTATGTTAGCGTCTGTCAATGAATGCGGATTGAAGCTGTTAAATGGAATTAAGAAGCAAGCTAAAGGTCGTGAAAGTGGGGGAAGTACTTAAATACTATCGGTAATTTAGGAATTGCAAAAAGAAAAAAAAAATAAATAAAATTCTCTCTTTTTCTTTTTCTTAATTGTCTTTTCCTTCATTATTGAAATTATCACGTAGTTCTTCAGATAACTTATTAATATTTATAGAATTATTAATAGTTTGACTTTCAACTTAAAGGTTATAAGAATTCTATCATTCGATTATTAAAATTAATGTAATTATTATATGCGGTTCTTCCCTCAATGGAACGTATTGAAATAACATGAAGGCTCTAAGAGAATGTTAATATAATTTCCTTTTATACTGTGGAATATATTAATACAAATTGCAAGAACTCATAATAGTAAATTAGTAATTAATATTTATTGAAATGGTAGTGCAAAATTTATTAAATAAAGATGGTTTTTTACTGACAAAATTTTATTGACCAATGTAAGTAATGGTAGGCAACAGCCATATCATAGTTTACATTTATTTACAATGATGTCAAAAAATTTAGCTGTAATATTGATTAAATAAATTATAATTCCACTTAAAATACTTAAAATGAAAAGTGAAAAATCAAAACGCATATATAAAAGAATATTAGTCGTATTAACTTTGGTAAACTAATTGAACTTTGCTACATATCCTCAAGTTGTTTCAGTGTGGCTTCTAATTCTTCTTCCTTCTTTTTAAATTCCTGTTCCTTTTCATCAAGTTTCTTTTCTAAATCGGCTTTCTCGGATTCAAGAGTGTTACACTTACGCTCAAAGTGCTCGGCTTTAACATCTGTTGTGCGTAACCTTAAAATAAAAATATTTTTAAATATTATTTTACAAACATATATAACATTATTCGAACTTAGATCTCGATAATAAATAAAATTCTTACTTTTCAGTAGTTTCCTTCAAATTCTTTTCAGTGGTATCCAATTCATTTTCAAGTATAGAAATTTTTCTTTGAAGTGCTTCAGTGGTACTTGAAGTTGATTCCTCTTCCTCTTTCGCAGATTTTAGATCACTAATTTTTTTATCAGCACGTTCAACTTCAGCTTCCAAAAGTGAAATTTTATTGGTAAGGGAAATGATTTCTTGTTCTTTTACAATTATATCTTCTTTGGCCTTTTTTAATTCAGCTTCAGCATTTTCAGCGCGTTGAACAGATGCATCAGCTTCAGCGCGAAGCGAATTGATTTTCTATGGATAAAAATCAGAAATATAAATCGCGGAAAATTAAAAGATATCTATCATATAAATAGACATGACTCTAAGACTCTTCGCACTCATGAATTAATGTTTTGTACTTTAAAAATGCAAGAAATTCTGGTCAAATTACACGGTTATAAATAATTTTGACATCGCTTTACAGGAATAAATATCTAGACATCTTTATCTAGCTAAAAGAACAATCAAGAATATACCGAACATAAAAATAAATACTTACTTCCTTAAATTTATCCATAAGTTTTTAAATAAAATGACCAAGGAAGAGAAAATGAATAAATAGATAAAACGTATTATTATTGTCAAGAAATGTGTAACGACTCCTAACTTTAAAGTTTGAGATCACGTGAATATATGATCGCAAACTATTATAAATATTAGCATATCTGATATATAAAAATATATAACCTTATTAAGTTTCAAATTTTGTCTTCGTTAAAATCGTTTAAATCCACCACTACATTTTAAAGATACTTTATTCCGCTCGTAGAATATTTTTTGAAAATAGTTTTTATTTTAGATACTTAAGGATTTTCTCGTAATCGTATCAAAAGCAGCAAAGTTTTTTAAAACATGGCTGATACAGATGTTTCCCATACAAATGACAAAAATTAGAGTTTTGATTTTGAAGATTTTATTAAAACAGAAATAAGTTTAGTCAATAATAGCGATTCAACAGGCGCGTTGGATAGCGAATTGGGACAAAATGAATTGTGGAAATTAAATGAGATCTATCATACAAATAGACATGGCTCTAAGACTCTCTTAAAATTTTACGAACATAAAAATAAAAGATAATTTACTTATTTCCCTAAATTTATCCGTTAGTCTATAATAAAATGAATAAATAGATAAAAATGTTATTGACAAATAATGTGTGACGACTTACACTATTTTTCGAGTTTAACCTCGAACTTTAAAGTTTGAGATCACGTGAATTTATGATCAATAAACAATAGCATATAAATATGACAAATTACAAATCTAGTTCTATCACAACTTTGATTTAATATTTTAAGTTTCAAAGTGTTAGATTTTGTCTTCGTTCAAAAATAATTAGATCCACCACATTTTAAAGATACTTTATTCCACTTGAATATTTAGTTTAGAATATTTTGAAAAATAGATTTTATTTAGATATTTAAAGATTTTATCGTAATTGTATCAAAAGCAGCAAATAATAAAATTTAATAAAGTTTTTAAGTTTTTCATCTTAACCATAAAAACATGCCTGATACAGATTTTTTCCATACAAATAGCAAAAATTATAGTTTTGATTTCGAAGATTTCATTAAAACAGAAATAGGACTTGGTAACAATAGCGATTCAGGTATTATAAATTTCTTATTAATAAGAATTTAATTTGATAGATAAAATTCTTTTTCATTTAATTTGTTTATAAATCTGATTTACATTTTAGATCAAATTTGTCAAGATTTTTTAAGAGGAACATGTACGAAGGGCATGAAGTGTGAATTCAAGCATACTACAAATTTTCGTGAAAAAGCTGTAGTATGCAAACATTGGTTACGTGGACTTTGCAAAAAAGGAGACCAATGTGAATTCTTACACGAATTTAATATGAGAAAAATGCCCGAATGTTGGTTCTATTCTAGATATGGTGAATGTAGTAATGAGGATTGTATGTATCTACATATCGATCCAGAATCTAAAATAAAGGAATGTGCTTGGTACGCGAGAGGCTTTTGTAAACATGGTAAATTGCATCGATTAAAATAATTCTATATTTGACAAGTACACTAATTATTATTATTTTTTTCTTTTAGGTCCACATTGTAGACATAAACATGTACGAAAAGTTGTATGTCAGTTGTACTTGAGTGGTTTCTGCCCAAAAGGGTCAGATTGTCCTAATGGACAGTAAGTACTTTTTTGTATATATAATTTATGCACATAATATTCATGAATTGGCTTAACATTATTTATTTTATTAGTCCAAAATATGAATTACCTACAGTACAGCGTGATCATGATGGACTTGAAGATGAAGGAATTCAAAAATATTCTATGGAAAATGAAGAAGTAAAAAATTAATTTTTTTATGGAGATTATTCTTTATGTTATTATTTTAATCATTATAGTTATTTCTTTTTAATAAAGAATCAAAGAATGGGACAACAACAGCAACAAACGCCGCCACAACAGCAACACCAACAACACCAACAACATCAACAACATCAACAACATCATCAACAGCACCAACAGCACCAACAGCATCAACATCAACAGCATCAACATCAACAACATCAACAACATCAACAACATCAACAACATCAACAACATCAACAACATCAACAACAACATCATCAACATCAACAGCAACATCACAATTACCGATCTTTATCTGAAGTAACGTGTTTCAAGGTATGTTAAGAACGAGTTACAAATATGCATAATATTAAATAATGATAAATTTTTTTTTTTTTGAATTAGTGTGGAGAGAAAGGACATTTCGCTAACAGATGTCCAAGAGGACAAGGAAACCGTTATTAATTAGGTGGATAAAAAAATAATTATGTAGTCTATTCAACATAGGTAAAAAACAAAGAAAAACATATGCGTATTCGTAGTGTAAATGATTTTATTGTTTTTATTGTTTGGTTGTTTTATTTTTAAATTAGCGAAATAAAATATATTATTTATTAGTTGTGATATCACTGGCTATTATCAAGAAAATCTAATCTTACAAATAGCCTATTAATATGTAAATTAATACTTTCAATTTATAATAAAGAAATTTTAGAGATTAAAAGTTATGAACTAGAAATTTTAATTATAAATTACTAAGAATTACAAATTTTCTGTTATTACATTAAAATATTACTAGATTATCTGTTTTAACATATTACATATATTACATTAATTCTTTCGTTTTAAAGACGGTATAAAAGTTAAATATGAATTTAAGAAATAAAAAAATTATTGAAAATATCAAGAGAAGGAATAGTAAAATATGCCATTATCTAATCTTCTAATGTCCCTTTTTATAAAACCCTTTTGCAATATATATTATATTACTGGGTTATTGTAAATGGTACTGCTCCTGCCCCTAACTACAGCTTCAGCATAGCTGGGTAATTGTTCATCGTCTGGATCACTTGGCCTATAAGTAACCATTTCATCATTTGTTGAATCATTTGAATCGTTTAAACTTCCATTATCATCTAATTGAGTTAAGCCTCTATTTATAACTCTAGGTTTCTCTCCTCTTTTTAACCAAAGTATCATAAATAATAATCCAGTCAAAATAATTATTAATCCAATTGTACCCAATAAAGCAGCTAATAAAACACTTGTTGAATTTGAAGGAGTATTGGAAGCATCAGCAGAGACATATTTAACAGTCGTAGTAATAGTACTTGATTCTGTTTCTGTTATTGTTGATGCAGGTTTTTCAGATGTTACGACTAGTGTTGCGAATTGTATAGGTCCTGTCGGTGATTGAGGTTCTGAAACTGCAGGTGTTGTAGAGGGAGAGTCTTCGTCTTCTGCTGTAGAAGTTAACTGACGTTTGTCGATGATTTCATACTTGTATGACATCGAATAATATTAATTTTCTTGGAATTTCATTAGGGAGTAAATCGAAACGATAATTAAACCACGGTAGATAAATTGGCAGAATGAAAATTGAAACAGTAAGCCGTAATATTGTACTAATTAGGCTAAGTATAAAGACTGTTAAGTCATGTGATCCAGCTTGAAACCTTTTGAGACTAAATTCGGAAATAGTTCGTTTTTCGGGCATTACTCCGGGCTGCGAAGTAAGGAAATTACAATTTCTGCACTATGCAACCCCATCAGCGACAAAATAATTTTGCCGTGGTGATGACACCACATCAAAAAGTTGTTTTATCAAAGAAAAATCTTTTATATGGGGTAAGCCGAATTATCTAAAATCTAATGTAACGAAATTCGAGATCTTATTTTGTAATAAATCTTGTAAAATTACTTGTTATATATGTCAAAATCTATTGTTTGGATGCGCCTTTTCCTTTATTGCTGATTTGAATTAGTCTCTATACGAAATTAAGAAATAGGATTGTCATGTACTTGATCACAAATATTTAATCTCCCCGTGGTTATTTCCGCAAATCTAGAGATTATTTGAATCTATGATCAAATATAAATAAATATAAACACGATTTTTTCGATTTCAAAGGAATTAAAATTATTAAACCTTGTCTCTTTCTTTTCTTTTTTAATAATATTAATTTTAAAGTATAAACTATGTCACCACCTTCTGGTAAATCAGAATCCGGGCTTGCTCGTTTATTAGGCTCAGGTACTTCAGGGATATTAGAATTGTTTATATTTCACCCTATTGATACTGTAGCCAAACGGTTAATGACAAACCCTAACAAAGTACGAAGTTTTTCGCGTTGTTTGCTATTTATTTTCAAAAAAAAAAAAAAAAAATCATTTTTAATTAATTGTTTTACATAGATTTTTGCAACGGGAGCACCATTATCTCAAGGTTTCAATAAACTTGATACAGTCATATTCAAGGTAGATTGATATCTTTCTGGTAACAATATATTTGTTATTCAAACTAAATATTTTTTAACTTTGTTTCATAGGATGCCTCTTCTGCGACCGTATTAAGAAAGTATACATCATTATTTCCTGGTTTAGGATATGCTGGAGGATATAAGGTCCTTCAACGTATTTATAAATATGGAGGTCAACCTTATGTAAAGGATTACCTTAATAATCATCATAAAGATACTTTTTATAAAATATTTGGCGAAAAAAGTGGCAAAACTATAATACATGCCACAGCCGGAAGGTAATTTATCAGTTGAAATTCTAAGTTTCTCTTTTGGTTTAAAAATCAAAAAATCAATCTTTTCGCCCATTTATTAGTTTAATCGGTATTGGTGAAGTGGCTCTTCTTCCATTAGACGTTTTAAAAATTAAACGTCAAACTGCTCCTGAAACTTTGAGAGGACGTAATATTTTTAAAATCTTTTGGGATGAAGGATTAGGGCTTTATAGGTAAATTTTATATATGATACACATTTTTTTGCATTTGAAACTAACTATTTATTGTAAAATAAAACAGAGGTGGCCTTTGGACAGCAGCACGTAATGCCCCTGGTAGTTTTGCTCTGGTAAGTAAATTTTTATAGATCTATTATTAAAAGTTATAGGACAATAAAATCGTTATCCCAAGAATAAACTTATAAGGTTGATTAGTATATACTTATGTCAATATTTCATACCTTTCTCGCTCTTTATATTCTTACAGTTTGGAGGATCAGCTTTTGTGAAAGAATATATATTCGGATTAAAAGATTATTCCAAAGCAACATTTTTCCAAAATTTCTGTTCTTCAATTGGTGGGGCTATAGCTTCCATTTCTGTTGCTCAACCACTTGACGTAGTAAAAACTCGTATTCAAAATAGACCTTTTGATGCTCCCGAAAGCGGTGTACAAATTATCAAGAATATGATTAAACATGAAGGTAACTTGCGTGTTTATTATTTCTTTTAAATCACTATTTTACATTAATTTATGAATTTAATTTATTACTCATTTTTACAGGTCCCACGTCTTTTATCAAGGGTATAACACCTAAATTAATAGTAATTGGACCTAAATTAGTATTTTCATTCACTGTAGCGCAACAATTAATTCCTTTATTAGATAACTTTTTTGTAGCCCAAGGAATAATTTCTAAACCCACTCAATCCCTTTAAAATTATGGTTGTTTTAAAAGAGCATTTAATAAATGAAAATATAGTATAGAACTAATATAATTTTTTTTTTTTTATGTTCGTTATTTTGTATTAATATTGAGGATTAAGTATGAATAATAAAATTAATTTTTGAATACATAATAAAATTTCCTTATTTATTAATAAAATCAATTTTTGAATTTTTTGAATGCATAATAAAATTTCCTTATTTATAAATGTTCTTAGCGTAACGTGACAATACTAATTTTGGTTGGAATTGTAGTTGATCGTCGTATATAGTTTGGCTTCGCACGTTTTTCTAAAGGCGACAAAACATGGCAGCAAATCAACCAAATAGTAATTCACTTAACAATAAAAATCCGGAACCTCTTATATTAACTTACCTTGCTCATAAAGGATATAAACAAACCGAGGCAATGTTTAGACAAGAATCTACAAGAAACTTTCCAATTGATCAAAATAACGATACTATGACGCCTAATTTTTTGAGTTACTCTAATTACCCTAATTATACCACTTATTCTAATTACACTAATATAAACCCACCAGATATATACAAACAAAGTTATACTGCTTTAAGGAAATGGATAGAAGGATCATTAGATAAGTTTAAGGTAATTTGCGGTTAATTTATTTGTATATATATATACATTTTTTTTTGTACTAATAATTATCAAAAATAGGACGAATTGCAAAGAATTCTATGGCCGATATTTGTACATTCGTATCTCGAACTTGTGTCAAGAGGATTTTCTGATCATGGTTGGTGAGGTTATTACTTGTTCTTTTTGCATCAACCACTTACCTAATCAATGGATGCTTTTAGCGACGGAATTTTTTGAAGAATTTCAACTAGATCACAAAATGCACAGCAGAGAGCTCGGTACAATGCGAGTGATTAAATATTCACATCACGTACAGGAGAATGAATTTGCTAAAAATTTTCGTTCAAAGAAATATCCAATACAGATGTCTTCAATATCATATGATATTTTTTTCGATTTTTTACAAGACAATCCTCCTAATGGAAGTAGTAATAGTTTCTTATTCAGACTTGTAAATCAATCCCTTAATATTGAAGGTACGTGTTATACAGTTAATTTTAAAGAATATCATTAATTTAATTAATTTAGATGGATTTTACTGCTTATTTATTTTGACGACTACGGAATAGTTGGTACATCGCATACAGATGTTGGTATCCCTAGTTTTTCCGCTCAAGAGCTTGAAGAATACAATAAACACGAACTTCATTTGGGACATATGCCGATGCATCCAGAGTTCCGTGAGGAAATTGAGAAAACGTTAAGAGAACAAGACGAAATTTATCAAAGACAATTTGAGGAAGAAAATCAGTTAGGGATAAATGAAGACCAGGTAAATCCTCGTATAATTAAAATCTACATAATTTTCTTAAACTAAAAATAAAATATCAAATTATTATTAGACAAACGGAATACCGGCTTCACTTTATCAAGAGTTTGTAAATAAAGTAAAAAGGGAACAGAGTTCAGATGCTCCTGACAGGATGTCTATCCCGCTGCCTTCACAGTATGTTTTTGTTCAAATTGATTCAATAAAACCTATTATAACACGACAATGAATTTGTTTATCTGACTTGAGAGACGTTTAGCAAAGAAGCTGATGTATTAGCACAAGTCGAAACGATTAAAGACTTGAGACTACGAGTAGAACTGGGACCATCTTCAACTCTTCCATCAGTTTGTTTTTATACATTTTTTAATACTTACGATAGGTAAATGTCATTATTTATTATATTTGACTTCATGTGCGTGCAGGTGAGTACTAGGATATTAATGAGATAAATTAATTATCCCAATTATCTTTATAGCCTGAATTGCTTAACCATTTCTGAAGACACGTCTCTTATCGCTGGAGGTTTTTCAGATTCATACATTAAAATTTATAGTTTGAAACACGAAAAACTAAGAGGACTTCGAGGACGTATAAATCCAGCTGAAATCAATACTGGTAATACAAATTTAGATTTACTTTTTTTTTCGTATGTAGAACTTACATTGGTTTTATCTTATGTATTGATTAAGCCAGCGATCTTGAAAATGCGAGAGAAAAAGTCGGTAGTGATTGTAAAAGACTTTTAGGACATTCCGGACCTGTGTTTGGTTTGAGTTTCAGTCCTGATAATAAATATTTAATTTCATGCTCAGAAGACAGGACAGGTAAAAAATAAATTAAATTTAGTTATTTTATTTATTTATTTTTTTTTTTTAAAAAAAAAATCTATATTGATCTCTCACTAAATTTATTTTAAGCGCGACTTTGGAGTTCAGACACTTATACTAACCTTGTATGTTATAAGGGCCACAATTCTCCAATATGGGATGTTGATTTTAGTCCTTTAGGTTTTTACTTCGTAACGGCTTCACATGATAGAACTGCAAGGCTTTGGAGCTGTGATCATATTTATCCTTTAAGGATCTTTGCGGGACATATCTCAGATGTAGACGTATGTAAAAATGATCATTGTTCTTGCGCTTATTCGAAAAATTCTAATTCAAACTAACTCTACTCGAATAATTAGACTGTTAAATTTCATCCCAATTCTAAATACATTGTTACTGGCTCAAGTGATAAATCAGTTCGAATGTGGGATATTCAAGGAGGTAGATGTCTTCGATTATTCTCTGGACATACTGGAGGAATTTCTTGTATAAGTATATCTGATGATGGACGTTTAATGGCCTCAGCAGGTATTTTAAAGTTCCAATTTCTGTACTATAATATAAATGTTATATAAAATAATCCTATATTTTTCTCTTATAGGAGAAGATAAATCCATAATGCTGTGGGATCTTGGAAGTGGAAAGCTTCTCAAGAAAATGTTGGGACATAAATCTACTGTATATTCATTAGATTTTAGCAAAGAAAGTAGTATTTTAGTATCAGGCGGTTCAGATTGTACCGTTCGTTTATGGGATGTAAAAAAGGGTACTTCAGATAGTCCCAATGAAGATGAACATTATTTGAGCAAAATTAGAATGGATATAGATGAAAATCGCTCACATTCCTCGCTAGCTAAACAAAAACAAATAACCGAAACGAAGTTAGTAAATTTCTTTTAATAAAACAAATATATTAATAACAAAACTAATTACAATAATTTTTTTTTTTTTTTTTTTTAGGGACCTTATAGCAACATTACCAACAAAACAAACCCCTGTTTATAAAATTCATTTTACTAGAAGAAATTTATGTCTTGCAGCTGGTGCTTACGTGCCTACCGAAGAAGAGTTAACAGAATCAATGGGCTATAACGAACAAAAAAGTACTTAAAAAAAGGATTTTTATCCAACTGTAGTTTCCCAATTAAGTACATGTAGTTGATTATGAAAGATTAGAATGTAAGCTAACTTGACACAATAGAAATCTAAAATTTAATCTTGTCAGCGACTTTTACTTTTGATTGCTTTTATTAATACTGTTTTGATACATGTTTTAAGCATAGAAATTTTAAAAAAATGCACACATTTAAAAATAGAATCTATGAGATGATGTATTTACGTCTACATGGGGACAAATCACGTTGCGTGATTGTCACAATACTAATAAAGTTCAGAGAAAAAAAAAATATAAATTACAATTATAATGGATATCAAGGATCAAATATACTAATAAAAAGGATTATTTTTTAAAAAAACTTTAACTTATTCCTCCATATAATCATTATCATCTCGATGACTTTCCTTCCAATCTTCCATGTCAACTTTTTTCCTTTTTCTCATTCTGCCATCACCACCTTCTATATCAGCAATGTACTCTCTACCAACTTTCTCTCTTAATTCCTCAACATCTTTATCAACTTCAGCATATTCCAATATTAAATGTCTACCTAATAAATGAGTATCACGCAGATTTTCCATAACATTTCTTGCATCGCGTTTCGTTAAAAATTCTATAAAAGCGAAACCACGTGATGTACCATCAAACTTTTTTGGTAAACGAAGTGTTTTAATTTGCCCGTAAGAACTAAATAGCTCCTTGACTTCTTTTTTTGTTGATTCAAAGGCTAAATTTTTAACTATAATTTTAGTTGACTCTTGATTCTCATCCTCTTTACGTTTTTGTTGTACAACATCTACTCCACGATTCGAAAATTTCAATTGTAATGCATGACCATCGAGCTCATAATTCTTTCAAAAAAAACACCAAATATGGACTGTCCCAAATGTGTGACTATAAAGAGAGTTGACTGTATATACAGTAGATCATTAATTACTACATCAATTGAAAAAAAAAAAAAAAAATTAAAATTAGTACAGGGAAGTTGAAAAGGTGTTCTCAATTGAACATTATAATATCAAGTACCTGCATAACTTTCAAAGCATTCTTTGCATTTTTTATATTATCATATTCAATAAATCCAAATCCCATGCTTAATTTTTTACCAGGGTTTTTTGGATCATTTTTCATTTTTATTTTTGTAGATTTCATACCAGGTGTATTTTTAAATACATTCTTTAACCCTTCCTCTGTAGTATCAAAACTTAAATTTTTTACAAATAAAGTAACATTTACTTCAGATTTAACATCAATGTTATCATCATCCACATTAAGTGTTGGTTCAACAAGGTCATTAGAAGACAACACTTTTTTCTTTTCTTGTTTAGATGATTCATCTTCTTTAGAATCATCATTTTTAAAGACGTTAACAGGTGCCATTTCTAGGTAAAGCGGAACTCCTTTAAACATCTTATAGGCAAGATTTGTAAATGCATTTTTAGCTTCAGTTGGATGTGAAAATTCTACTACAGCAAGTGTTTGAGCCGGTGGTATTATTAACTATATTAATGGGAAGCGTTAATCACATACTAATATATATATATATATATATATTACATAACGAAACTACTACGTTAAAAAAACGTACCCGACCAATTTCTCCATACCATCCAAATAATTGTTGTAAATCTTCTTTGGTGGCACTGTACGAAATATTTTTTATCAAAATAACATTGTTACTTCTTTCTTTTTTTCCAAAGGACTCTAAGAATATTCCATTCTAATTATATTAAGAAATCAATTAAATTGTGGATTCTGCAAAAAGGGACCAAGTCGACAAATATATAGAATTTGTACTTACCTCTGCAAGATATGCTTTTGTTTCTTGTATAATATGTGTTTCCGCAAGAGCGAGGCGAGCAGACATATTGTCACTTTCTGGATCTAAAATATCGGATTTTTTTATGTTAAATCTATTTGCGATGGATTCAGCAATCGAATCGCTCTAAAATATATTTAAAAAAGTTTTATTAGCAATTTAAATAAAAATAAATGGAGAATGAGTAAAAAAAAAAATTTTTACATTCATATATAAAGTGTTCCAATTAAAGTCACTTGTGGCTTGTGCTTTTAGTTTCATCTCTCTCTGCTTTTTCAAATTCCATTTACTTGGATCAGAATCACGCGACTGAGGTTTCTCTCTTGAAGGTATAATATGTAATAATCTACCCATAAAAAATTTGTTATCAAGTTCTATAAAAGCCTTGACGGCATGCTCAGGAATATGATAAAGGATATAAGCGAAACCTTTTTGTTTCTTAGTTTCTTTATCAATTGGCATGTGAACCTACAAAAAACATTTAATAAATTAAAATTTTTTAATTTCAAACTTCCAAATTTTTATGAAATTAATACTTACTTCAGCAAGTGGACCAAACTTGACAAACTCTCTTCGTAAATCGTCTTCTGTACAAATGTAGGGTAGATTCCTAACAAACAAACGACCAGTTTCACCTATAGATTCTTCAGGTGGCACGTCAGTGGTTTGATGGTTTGAATTATTATTCGTCTCTTTGTTGGATATTATGTTTTCTTCATCGTGATTCATATAATTGGATTGCGTGGCTTTATTATCCTTTTTTCCTTCAACACTTTCGCTAAGTTCACTATCATCATCATTAGATTCACTATCAGATGAAGTATTCTCCTTTTTAACATGAATAGAGATTCAAATTATTAAATCTTATTTATAATATTAGGCACTATTCAATTAAATAAATACTAACCTTATCACTATCATCATCATCATCTTCTTCTTCTTCATCGTCATCATCATCATCTTCTTCTTCCTCCTCCTCATCTTCCTCTTTCTCTAAATCAAAATTTTTTCTCATTTTTGACTTGAGCCAATCCCCATCAGATACTAAGTCTTCATTGGCCTCGTTGTTTTTTTTTACGGGCTTGGATAATAAGCTTTCCTTTTTATCACCACTCTTTTTATCCTTAGTTTTATATCGTAAATCTTGATAAAGTTCATCATCTGATTCTTCAGATTTTGCATTTTTTTTTACAGATTTGTTTTCATTTCCTATTTTAGACTTTTTTCCATGTTGTGAATCTAAAGTTGTTAAATCATCGTTTGCCCAAGTTTTAGATTTTGATCTTGGCTGCATAACTTCTAAAAATTCATGTAATTTTTCATTATTCTCATCTACAATTGAGATTTTTGACTTTGATTTCTTTTTATCTTTAGTTGCTTTAACATTGTCATCCACTAGTTTATCATCAGGTTTTTGCTGTTGGTGACTCTTTTCATATCTTGAAGAACCAGTACTGTGTGCACTCCAAGGTCTAGGGAGTGATGAATCATTCACCTATAATAAGTATTAGAGTTAATAACTTTAGAATCATTAAATATAATGTAGGTTTAACGTTACTCACTCACAGGTTTAGCACGTTCAACTGTAATTCTTGAAGTGAATATGAAAGTATTATTAAAATATTTTAGTGCATCATTTGCTTCTTGTTCTGAACGATAACCAATAAAGCCAAAACAACGAGATCTACCATCACTACACTCGAAAAAATCAAGAGATTAATTACATCAAATTGAAAGAACAGATCATTTTAATGAATTTAAATATTAACCTTGTTTTTATTATTTTTGCATCAGTTACTTGACCTTTCGAAGAAAAATGTTCCCGAAATTTATTATCGGTTAAATTTTTTGGTAAATTTTTTATTATTAGACGAGACCTATTAAATGTAAAAATTAATTAATATTAATAAATTTCATATAAATATCTGCTAAACTAGAAAATGTTTACATTTTCGTTTCGATGCATTAAAATTAAGTCAATTTTCTTTTTTTTTTTTAAAAAAAAAAAATTTTATAGTTGTTTTGATAATCGAAAATCACGTGATAAGAAAATTTGAATCAAAGGTATAAAAACGAAATTTTTTTTTTTTCAATGATTCTTACATTTCTTTCTCGTATTGTTTGGAGCCAACAATTTATTTCGTTTTCATTTAAGTTATTTAACAAAAAAAAAATTTTTTTCATGTTTTTTTTTGTCCCTGATATAAACTAATATAATACATTTTATATAGTGAACCTCAATATAAAAAGATAGGGTGCATCTTTTAATTAAGAGATCGATCGTTTATCATAACCAGATCCAATTTATGTGTATAACTTCTTTAACATAATGACGATATTTAACATTGTATCAGTTTTAAATGATTTACATCCCGGTAAATAAAGATAAACATAGTCTGTAATATTCTAACAAAAAAAAAAAAAATTAAATCATATATAGAATATACTAGAACAGCAAAACCATGTGTCTGGTGTCCTCGTTCGTGGTGTCTTAAATTTAATCTTCATCCAAACACTGTTATAAGTCTTATTTCTGAATCAAAAGGAACGAAATGTTTTGCATCTATTAAATTATATTCAAAATATTCGGAATTATTTCGTGATAAAAAAGAATTTCCAGAGAAATTAGAATTTAATTTATCTACAGTTAAAATTGGAAACAATAATATCTTTAATTCCTTTAATCCTGATGATGATGGAGAAATTCAAGTTGTTATATCTAAATCATTAGCTATCAATTTAGGAATTTGTGAAATCTCTAATAATATAATTAATTTAGAATTTCCAATACAATTGAAGTTTGGAGAACTGGTAATTGAATATATTTATTAATTTGTATAATAAATTACAAATTTATTTATTAATTAAAAAAATTTTTCTTTATTAACAGATAAAAAATATTCCAGTTGCTACACGCATTATTTTATATTCTAATTTATTAAAATCTGAAAATTCCATTATAAATAATGATTTAGAAGAATCGATTTTTAAAAGAATCCATCTGGGTAAAATTGTTTCACCTAATGATTGGATACAATATAATGGATACTACTTAAAAATTATTCAAATATTTTCAAATAATATTTCACCTTCTTCAAACATTTCAACAAAAGAATTTATTGAATCTAATGTTGTGAGAATTTCTGAAGATACTATAATTGAATTTAGTAATCATCAAAATGAAAAATCAAATAACTCATTAATAGATCAAAAATTTCAAAATAAATCTCAATGGATGGATAAAGTAAAAGAAAAAATAGGTGGATTGAATGAAATTATTTCAGAAATTATTGAACAAATTCATCTGTTCACTATTACTGCCATGAATAATAAATATAGAAAAGGTATTAAAAAAAGTAAAGGAATTATATTAACTGGAAAACCTGGTACTGGAAAAACTACTTTAGCTTTATTTTTAGCTGGTATATTAAATTTTCTATCTTATTTTTAATATTTTTTTTTTAAAAAAAAAAAAAATGTTAATATTTAATTTGTTTTTATTTAATTTAGAATTTTCTGGATTACCATTTACTGTTATAAATTGTCCTGATATTTTTAAAACTGGTATAAAAATTAGTATAAACTTTTTATTATTTTATTTAAATAAATTAAATTTTTTTTTTTTTTGATATAAATTTTTTTCTTAGATGAAGGAGAAGGAGAAAATGAACTTTGTTTAATATTTGAATCAATGATGAATCATTATCAAGCATCTATAATTATCTTTGATGAAATTGATATTATTTCTGATAAAATAGCAAGTGTTCGTACAGGTATATATATAATATTTATTAATACAATATATCTAAATATTTCATAAAAAATATAAAAAATTAAAAATTTTATATTATAGGAGTTGAATCCAAATTATATTCAGTGTTGATAAAATTTATTGATTCAATCAATGATAATAATTTGCAAGACAAAGGCCAAATATTTATTATTGGTAAGATAAAATTAAATAAAACATATATATATTATATTAATTGATATTCATATTTTTTTTGGTAATAAAAGGATTAACAAACAGATTACATGCTATAAATAATAACTTGTATCGATCTGGGAGACTTGATAAAATTTATGAACTTAATATTAAAAAACCTGAACAAAGGCTACAAGTACTTAAAATCATGACTAAAAGTAGGTTTAAGTATGATTTTTTTTTTTGTTGTCTGCTAAAAATATTTCGTAATATTTGAGATTTCAAACAAATTTACTATTTAGAGATTCCATTCATAACGGAAGAAAAAGATTTAATTTTGAAGAAAATCAGTCAAATAACTCATGGATTCGTAGCTACTGATTTACAAAATTTATGTACAAAAGTTGCAATGGAACTTATACAGAAAATTTCCAATGAAAAAGTGGATGAGGTTTGAAAAAAGTTACTTTGATAAATTGTATTTCTTTATTTAAATTTATATATTAACAGATTTTATAATTTCAAGAATAGAGAACCTATTCCAATTTTTGCTACATTAAACCATTTTGAAAATGCACTTAAAGGAATTAAACCTTCAAATTTAAATGAATATCAAACAAAGGTAAAAGAAAAAAAGAATGATTATTTTATAATTTTAATTTAAATAGTAATTGTTAAATTTATTTTGTTAGATTTCCGATATTAAATTTTCTGATATTTTTGGTATTGATAATATAATAGAAGATTTAAAGGTAATAAAGAAAATGTAAAATGCTGATATATGTATAACTCAACATTTAAATGATAAATTTATAATAATAAATTTATATTTATTATCAGTTAACAATTATTGAACCATTCAATAATCCACAAGAGTTTTCACAATTTGGAATTTCTCCACCAAAAGGAATTCTTATTTATGGACCACCAGGCGTTGGAAAGACAATGCTTTGTTGTGCTATAGCAGCTGAAATAGGGATTAATTTTATGCTTGTAGAGGTATTACAATAAATTATAACATTCAAAGTAAAAAATAATAATAATAATTTATCATTTTTAGAGTTCGCAAATTGTATCAAAAATAGTTGGAGAATCTGAGAATAATATTGCAAGAATATTTGCTCAAGCTAAAGAAAGTTCTCCTTGTGTTTTATTTATTGATCAAGTAAATATGAAAAAAATCCTATAATTTAAACAAAATATAAAATATATATTTACATTATTGTATGGATAGATTGATGTTTTGGCACCAGTTCGAGGAAGTAGTATGACTTCAGAAAATACTGGAGAAAGAATAGTAACTAGTTTATTAGTAGGTAAAAATCAATAGTATTTTTTTTTTTTTTATATTATGTAATTAAATAAAAAATTACAAAAATCCGGACTTATTTTAAAATAGAAATGGACGGTTTTTTTACTCCCAAACATAGAAATGGACCTGAAGTGGATGTTCTTGTTATTGCAGGTTTTTTATTTTAAACTTTAAACTTGATTATTTTTAGTTAATTAGATATATTATAAAAATATTATAAAATATTATAGCAACCAACAGACCCGAAATAATTGATACTGCATTATTAAGACCCGGAAGATTAGATCAACATATTTATATTCCACCACCTAATTTAAAGGTTTATATCTATATTAATAGTTTTTTTAATATAACGTTTAAATTTTTATATAAATTTTTTTTTTAATTTTAGCAAAGAAAGAAAATTCTAATTGGAAAATTCCAAACAATTCCTACTTCATTATCAGAAGATCAAATCGATACATTATTAAATGATACAGAAGATTTTTCTGGTAAGAACATTTTTTTAAAAAAAACAAACATTTTTCATAATTTCAATAAATTCATTATAGGAGCAGATTTGGATAATTTATGTAGAGAAGCGGCATTAACAAGTATTAGAGAAAGCATAAATAATAAAGTGGTTTGTATAATATAAAATTTTTATCTATACATAAAAGTATATTGATAAATTTTGTATAAAAATATGTAGGTTACATTTAATCATTTTATTAAGGCGAAATCTGTTTGTGAAGCTTCTTTATTAAACTATAAACCAATTCATCCATTCAAATAAACATTCAAAATGGGCGGAACCGTATCAGATAACTGATCAATAGACGCTTTTTTCATTATTTTTTACTTTTTTTTTTTAACTAAATTTAATAACAATAAATTAGTACATATTAAAAAAAATGATACTAATTATACTTTATATACTTTTCACAATCCTCTTCAAACATTCTATTTTTAAATTTTATTAATGGAAATTTAACAATTGCAACAACCAACTGAAACTAAAAATGTTAAACGGTATAACTATTTTATCAATTTAGTCTCGGAATTACCAAGTTAGATGCAGGTTGTTTAAAATGTTTCGAATTTAAACCGACGAATTATATAAATCACTTGTAAACAATTACAATTTTTGTAAATTATCTGCGACCTTGGCGTCATTGCAAGTATTGCAAGTATAATTTTGAAATATCAAATGGCATGCCAGGGTCTTTAATCATTCATAATAAAGTTAAATATTAATGTGGGGATTCGGAACTTTAACTGAATTTATCTTTCTGAAACGCTAGAAGTTTCGCATTTAGGGAACATAAAAGAAAATCACATGACTAATTTAAAAAGAAAATTCCTCATTTTCTTTATTGTATAACTATAAAAAAAATTTCAGAAAGTACCCAACATGTGAAGAATTTTTCAATGAATTCTATCTATCGACTTTTTCATGTATCAAAAGATTTCTCGTATACAAGATTAGTCTAACGGGGTAACGGATTTCTTTCTTGACTGACTGACGGAAATGATAATAATCAATTACGTCAATTACGTTCAGTTTCATCAGTTGATCTCATTCTTGAGAACAAAGGACGGTAAATTCGATTAAATTCTAGTCATTCTAGTCACTTTTTTTTAAAAAAAACCATACGCTTTCATTGCTAATACAAGTTACGTTTGAAGTAAAAAGGAAAAAAATAAGAAACAGAAAAAAAAAATCTTGAAACCTTGAAAACAATATTCGTGAAACCTTTTATCATAAAGCCCGCGTTTCAAACTAAAAATCTTTATATAGTAAGCTGCAGTGTCATCAAAACTAAACTCATTTATTACTTAATGCTAAAAAAAAAATTGTTCACCTAATCCATTATTCGCCCCAATTGGTTACTCAAAAAAAAAAATATTATTTTTAACTTTAAACATGGAAAATAAATTATTTATAATAATCAAAAAAAAAAAAAAAAAAAAAAATATGAAACATTATTATTATAAAATTAAATTCAAAGCATGGCAATAAGGGGAATATGATGGCTAATATGTGCATCAGAAAACAAATAAAATGGAACAAGGGCAAGTACTTTAAACAAAGATGCAAGTCAAAAAATGTGATATTTAGTTTCCTTGTTGATTTTATATTATGTATTATTTATTAATTTCCCGCAGTTTTAAACATAAATAGTAGTGAAAACCATTTTGGATTTCGCAAACAATCGTGTAACATATATGATCTACTCACAATCGGGCGTGCATTAAGACATAATAATACTAATACAACCATGAATTTATGTATATTACCAAAATTGGCTTATAGGACAAATTTAGTTACTCGTATTATTCTTTTTTTTTTGTTTCTCTGTGTACGAAACAATTGTTAATTTTATATAAATCCAAGCTTTTCCATTATGTATAATTTAAAAAAAAAAAAAAAGATTATTTTTTTCATCTGTTTTCTTCAAGGAACGAGAGGACTGGTTTCTCTTTGTTTTTATTTCTCATCATTATTATTATTTGTTTATTATATAGTAAAATTTTTTTTTATTTTATACGATAAATTAATAATAATAAAATACGAGGCTGGCCCACTATGAATTTCTCATTTGTTTATGTTTTTCTATCTTTTTTGTTTTTAACAAATTTGTCATATGTACAAACAGGTTAGTTGCTTTTTATCTTCGATAATTTTAAAAATTTTATTATCATTTATTTCATTACTGATCAAATTAAATTTTCATTTAACAGCAAGATTTATTCGTAATGCACAAACGCTTTCATGCCTTGACTTATTACCATCCTCTTCTTCTTCATGTATACCTGTGACTTTGAATCCTTGCCCTACGGACAGATTTTCTAATTTCTCAGTTTCATTAAAATGGAATTTTATTCCTTTAAATACTTCTTCGCAATTAACCGATAATTCTACTATTATGATCGAAACAAATGATAATCAATTATGTTTAAGTGCTACTTCGACAAATAATGTAGAAGCTTGTCCTTGTGATAATGGAAATGCTCAAAAGTGGACTTTAGCTGATGATAAAATTTTAAGTGTTGCTAAACCTAACGAATGTTTAAGTCAACTAGGAGGTGTAGTTAACGTAGGAAATTGTCAATCTAATGGAGGTCCAACCTCTTGGAATCATTATCATGTAGCTCCAAGTAAGTATTTTCCTACTATTACTATTGTGATTTATGTAGATCACGTTACTGACGTATCCTAATTTTTAAGACGCGGTAAACTTATATCTTAAGTCGGGATTTGTTGGTGACTCACAACAACTTTTCATAAATGATTATAATTCGAAATTTCTTCCTCAAGAAATTTTTTTCTCCCCATTCTCCCTTGAAATTCCACCTGGATTCGAATTTGTTATTGATAGTGGAAACAATAATATTAAAACATTCGATAACGATGTTGCACAAATGTCACCTATCAATTCTCTTACCTCAATAATTTCCGTCAAATTAAAGCCCGGGATGATTATTTATGAACAACCTGCTTATTTTAGCGCGAGCAAATTTATGAAAGTTGGTGAAAAAAACACTTCAAGTTTAATTATTGGTTCGGTTTTAATTCCTGAAGGTTTACGTGGAGTTATTTGGTCAAATCCAAATTTCACTGGTAATAATCTCGGTTTGTTTGAACCTATCGCTAATTTTACTGGTGTCTCAGTAGCATTAAAACAAGACTTTGCCGCTAGTTTAGATATCTCCGCAAGTAAGTAAACATATTTATAAATAAAAAATTTTTTATTTATTTTACTAAAAATTATTATTATTACTTCAGCTAAATGCAAAAACGATTGTGGGTCTGGTGGAATTTGCTCACTTAACGGTAATTGTTCATGCTATAAAGGTTTTGCTGGAGACAGTTGTGAACAGTGTGAACCTGGATTCTATGGCCCAACATGTCAACAATGCCAATGCACGACGGTTCTTAATAAAAATAAGTGTGATGATTCAATGACAGGATTTGGGAAATGCAGTTGTAATGATGGATTTACTGGTGACAATTGCGATATATGTGCTCCCGGTTTTACTAAAATTGGCAATACGTGTGAAAGTACGTTATTTTTAACAATTTTTATTTAAAATACGATCCATATTTACTCTTCATTTATAAATTTTAGAATGCAATTGTGTTAATGGTATATGTGACGAACAAAATAAATGTATATGTAATGCCGGTTTTACTCTGGATAATGCACAAAATTGCACTTTATGTAAAGAAGGATATTTCCTATCTGATACCGAATGCGAGCCATGCCCTCCGGGTTGTGAGGCATGTGAAAATGGCAAATGTATAACATGTCAACAAGGTCTTAAAGATGATGGTAACGGCAAATGCATTTTTTCTCAAGACCAAAATCAATCTATATCACAACCCACATGTACCGTGTCATTTTGTTTAAATTGCTCTGGACCAATTTGTTTGAAATGTCAACCGCCGAAGTTGTATTTGGAGGGTTCTTGCGTCGATATTGTTCCAGATAGTGGTAAATGTATTCCGGCTGCAAATACAAATCAAAGTTTTATTGCTGATAATGCTCAACAAATTTGTAAACCTTGTCCAAGTACATGCACAGATTGCAATATTCAAAATTTCACTCCAACAAGTGCTGTTGATGTTCTTAAAGGTTTGCAATGTACAAAATGTATACCGGGACATTTCCTTAATGGTACCGAATGTGTTGAAAATTGCCCCCCAGGAACATATGCCAATACTACCAATAACTCCTGTCAAGGTATGTTGAATTCAATGATAATACTTACTATCCACACTCATAGTTGTACTTAAAAAAATTTTTTTTATTTCTATACAGTATGCGACGATAGTTGTGACACTTGTAATGGTCCTCGAAACAATAATTGTAAAACATGTCGAAAAGATTCCTTTAATCACGATGGAGTATGTTCAACCGACCCATGTCCTTCAGGATTCGTAGCAATTGACAATATTTGTAAAAAATGCCACGTAGATTGTGTAGAATGTTCTGGCCCAGGAATTAATCAATGTACAAAATGTTCACCTGAACGTCCAAGTTTAATAAATGGTCAATGTGTAGAAGTTTGTCCGAAGGGAACCTATGCTGATGGAGAAAATTGCCAAAAATGTAATGAAGATTGTTCTTCATGCGTAGGACCAAGGAACGATCAATGTCTTGGATGCAATGATCAAACAAAAGTTTTACTTGGTGGCACTTGTAGTGGATCATGTCCAACTGGAAGTGAGCTAGTCAAAGTTGAAAAACTCTGTCAAAGTTTGAACGGTGAAGATATTATTCCACCTGGAGAAATAATTAAAGAAGAAAAACAGTCAATCGTCCCCATAAAACTTCAATGGTGGCATATTCTTATAATTGCGGGTGGTTCGCTCTTATTGTTAATCTTAGCTGCTCTGTTGATAAGATGTATTGCTGTAAAGAGAAGAAAGATGAAAACTAAGGAATTTAGTGATCAGATTGATGAAAACGCGGTTGCACAAAACCTAAAGAATATGTTACGTAATGCACGTGGAATGCCATCGCAACCAGAGATGTCGCATAGTTCAACGAAAGCTCAAGAAGTTGATGACTTAAATGCACCCCTTCCTGCTTATGATAATAAGGACGGTGAATTATATTGGAAGCAAAGACAACAAAGACATCAGAAGCATGCATCAATTAACCCAGATGATTATAATAATTGGAAACAAAAATTGAAGAGTAAAGATTGGGAAGGATTTGATATTGTAACCGAAGAAAGTTTGTCATCTAATAATAATAATAATAATAATGCAGGATATAGTGGATATAATCAAGAAGAAAAAAATACATTTGAGGCTCCGAAGGATGTCTATAGGAATAGTAAAGGATCTTTAAGATCAAATCGTCCTATTAGTGCTAAAAGAACTTTCGATGTTCCAATACGGAGAGATAGTTGGATTTAAAAGTCAAAAATATTTACATTAAATATTTTTTAAACATTCTTTTAGATTAAAAATAGTTAATATATAATGATAATGAAATTTGAGTTAGTTTTTTTTTTATACATGAAAAAGGAAGGTTTTTTTAATAATAGCGTTTATTTTTATAAAATTGTATATAATTAATTATTTTTACTTTTACTTTTAAAAATAAAGCGAACAATAGATTTGTTTGTATTTAATAATTTAAAGTACCCTTTGCTCTATTTATTTAAAGTATTAAAATATACAGTTTATATACAAAAGGAAGAATTCCAATTGTTTTCAAATTAATTACAGTTTTTGTAATCATTGAAATATGTCTTTGCTGCAGAAACCAATAGTTAACCCCGACTTTAATGTTGAAACTTGAAAGGTCGTGGAAATAATGTATTTAGGAAACATGTTTTTTTTCAAAATTCAGTTTACCCGATATTTTTACTAAAAACCTTTTTAATTGCCGGCTAAGAACGGGACAATTTGATGATCGTATATTTTAAATAAATGGATCCTATAATTTTTCTTGACATTTTTATAACATATCAATTGGTCTTCGCAATTTTTAGTTTATAAATCATGTAAAAAATGTGAAATAAAGTGAAATCTGAATGTAAACTATTTTTTACAAAACAATCGTACACGCCTATTTCTTTTCATGCATATATGATGATTTTTTTGTCATTTAGTGTTAGTGCACTTATTACTGATTCTCCCTGATTGTTCTCATAACAATCGTGCCGTTCTTTATTAACTATTTTATTAAATACATTGTTATTAACGTGCAATACTTATCTAGCTCTAGTGTAGTATTGCATCACGACATAACAATAACAAAAGAGTTCTTATTACATTTATGCCGGGTGACGTGAACCGAAAAATTGAATTTGTATTAAAGAATTAAAAGAACATTTGGAAAACATCATAGTATAAAGTTAGTATGATTTTAACGAAAATTGTTTCATCTGATTTAGAAACGAGAAACCACAAAGTATGTTCAACACACCGAATAATGATACGAATATGGTTATTAGTTAAATTTAAAATAAAAGAGCTTGATCCGGGATTCGCTTTACAGAATGTTGGATTATCCCCTTCCTTTAATTGCTGAATATAGAAATCAGAGCTTTCCTTTTATGGTTTGAATATAAAAATACCCTTTTTTTTTTTAAAAAAAAAAAAAAACTACCTTTGAATAAAGTCATAAATCCGGAACCTCGGTTTCTTCTTAGTATGGAATGATTTATAATTCAAAGGTAAAAACATAACGTACTGTATTAACCATTTTTTTTTATGAATAATTTATATATATAACTTTATTGTCATAATTCATGAATAAGTAATAAATAATAATTTATCATTTTAAATACGAGTTTACTAAATCATTTTACTGTTAATCTGTATTTCTTTTAAATATTAAAGGTATTGGATATGGTCCCATAGTTCCAGTATTATCAGGTTCAAGTTGTAATTTATCTTTATGAATACTGTCTTCTGGCAAAGATATTTCATATTTTCTTACTATATAAAAACAAAGAAAATTATTAAAGAATAATTTACTAATACAGAATAAATTAACTAACTCAAACATAAAAAAAAAATAACATACATAAAAGGCATAATGTTACTCTTTGTTCAAAGAGCGAAAAATTAATACCTAAACATCTATTTGTCAAAAAAAAAAAGAGTTATTTACTTGTTTTTGTTTGTTTAAATAAAAAAATGAAAATATTTTAACTTACGATCTGCTACCACCACCAAAGCTCAACCAAGCATAATGATCATGCTTTTCATTTTCAAACCTTTCGGGAACAAATTTTTCAGGATTTTCCCAATTCTTCGATGAATGATGAATTCCATAGGTAAATAATACTATAGCCGTTTTAGCTGGAATTACATGATTGCGAAATTTAACATCTTGTGCGTTATATCTTCTTTGTAACTCTGGAGCCTAAATTATATATTAATATATATTTTTGAAAAAAAAAAATGAAATTAAATTTGATCAAGCCATAAATAAAAAAAAAAAGAAAGAGAAAAATTATCTAATACACACTGGAGGATATAATCTTAAGTTCTCATTTATGACCATGTTCATATATTTTAATTCTTTCTGTTGTTCTATGCTTGGTGTTAAATCATCGCCAAGAACACGTAATATTTCATCACGAACTTTCTTTTGTACTTCCTTATTAAATAAACGGATAAATAAAGATAATTATAAAGTAATAAAAAGTAATAAATTATTATAATAACTTGAGATTCTTGAATACCTTGTGGGTAGCTAATAGATATAAAATGGTTGTCAAAGCATTTGCAGCTAAATTCCATTATTGGGAATTAAGATTAAATTTAGATAATATTAATAAACATAATAAATAAATAAGTAAGTAAATATATTAAAGTCCTTCTTACTAGTATCATGACCAGCAAACATAAAAACTGCAAGGTTATACTATTGTTTCATATAATTTCGAAATTAAAAAATTTCCTACATATGTTTACTTTTTATAAAAATAATAATTTTATTCTTACTCGCAATTCATCGCTTGTCAAAGTTGGATTTTCTGGGTCACTGGAAGCTTGTATCATATATTCTAACAAGTCTGCAGTTCCATTATTTATTTTTTTATCCATTTCTCCTGATTTCACTGATTGACGTTTTTTTTCAACAATTTCATCAAATAAATTATTAAGCTTTATCATTTTTTTAAGTGTTTTAGTACGTGGGAAATAATTAAGGAATGACAAAAGAAAAAATAATGGATTTCCCAAATCTTTTATCAATTCATTAAAAGTAGTAACATATACGTTGTTTGGATCTTCAAGATTCTTAACATAATTTCATAAAATTAATAATAATACTTTAATAATAATACTATTAAAAAACAAGTAAAAAAAATGTATATATATAATTTAGATCTTACATTAAAATCAAAACCAAAAGCAGCTTTTCCAAGAACATCTAAAGTATACCTATTATAAATTAAAATTAAGTTATTTAAACTTAATAATAAATCCATTTTATGGCATACCTTTGCATAAGACTTTTGGCTTCTATGGGTTCATTATCAACTTTTTCCATGACTTCCATCAATTTCATAGCAGATTCAACAAACACATGTACGGGTAAATTTCGAAAAGCAGGATTTGCAACACGTCTAAAAAATACGAGAAAAAATTAAATGCTTTAATAATTTATATTTCAGTCCATCGAATAAATTAACTATTATTTGGCGTTAGGGAGACAGTAGCTATGACACAAATCCAATCGATAAAGAATTTTCGTTTTATGGTTAAAAGTTTATACTTTAAGTGTACTACATTTTCTTAATACAAAACTCGATACTTGATACTCTATACAGGACAGAAATTATTGATGCACATACCGATGACGTCTCCAAACCTATTATAATCGATAATTTAGAGTTAAAGGTTTATTCATAAAAAATTAACTATATTCCGATATATACTTACATCTCCATTGGATACTGCTACATTTGTACCATAATATTTAGCCACTAAAGATCTAGGAAATGATTCTTCGAGCAAAATCTTAGGATATAAATCTAATTCATCAAAATATAACATTATTAAAAACCATATAAACGATAAAATTTTTAGGAATTCCTAACCCTAACCTGTTTTTGTAATTATATCTTTTACCAATTCTAAATCGGTTACTACGATAGTCCATTCCCCATCGAACCAAATCTAATTTAATAAAAAAAGGTTTCAATTAGGTAATTGTCTTAAATAAACCGCGTAAAAGAATATATATTACCTTTCCGATTCCGTCTTTCTCTAAAACTTCACGCATATCTTCCCAACGTTTATCCAATCCATATGATGCAAGCATTGCAATAGCAAGATCCAAGAAACTTAATGTTGACACATTTTTAAGTCCCTTGGGTACTCTTGTTTTTTGATAAATTTTAAAAGCTATAAATGATATCAAAATTAAAAGGACTATAAGAAAATTCATTTCGTTAATAGTTTTTACAAAAAAAAATTTAGAATTAACTATTTTTTGGAGATCTATGCTGCATATTTATTTAATATGATCGCCCTAAAAATTGAACACAGTTTCTAAATTTATATTAGCCGATTTACCGATGATATACCGGATATGTACCAGATAGTTTATTATTATTTATATATTTGTAAAAATCCATTGAAAAACTTTTTACAGTAAAAAAAAAAACCTATATAATCAATCCTACATATACTTAAATAATATACTATGTATTTTTTTTACAATATGTGTCCAATTTTTTTTTTTTTTTTTTTAGAAANTAGAAAAAAAAACGCACCTTTATCATAATGTACTAACTAAAAAAAAAAAATTGTTACTTTATAAATTTAATAAATTTAATTTATCTTTCTAACAAAAAAAAAAAAAGTTCACATTTGGATATTTAAAAAAGACCACATGAATAGTGGAAGTATAAGATTATCATTTTGAAATGATGCTGCTTCCAAAAGAGCTATGTTAAAAACGTAATAAAATAATAAATTATTATTTTATTTTACAAAATAAGAAAAATATATTTATTAGTAGTAAACTTACCAGTTGTTAAGACTGCTAGTGCATATTTGAACCACTATATTAAATAAAATAATAATTAGTTTCAAAAAAAATATATATATATATATAACGTAATTCTTACTTGTGCAGAAGAACCCGGCCACATGTTAGGTGAAGATGAGATGTTAACTAATATAAAAGCCCCAATAAAAAGGAAAACAAAAAATGCAATAGATCCTTCAATAGTTTTACAAGATTTGGGCCATCTGTTTCTTCCATATCGCTTTCCAATTATTGATGCCTTAGATAATAAAAGAATTACAATTCAAATATTTCCAAAACAATAATATAGATATATACAAATTATTTCATACCATTGAATCGCCAAGACCTAGAGTAAAAATACCAGAAAGATTTGCTAATATAAAAGACCTTATTAATTAAAGCAAAATTTTTTTGATTAAAATACTATCCCATCAATTATATTATTGTTATCACTTATTTTTATTATAACTTACCCATCTAACCAAATACATCCAGCACATCCAATAAGTAAATATATGTGACTCAAAATACAAGGTCCTGAATCACGAGAATCTAAAAATTCACTAAGGAACATATGGAGTTGTTTTCCAATAGGATACACAGCAAAGTATCTCAAATATTCCAAATAAATTAATGCAGCAAACGCTACACTAAATGCTAAATGCATAAATTCTGGCTATAAATAGAGTCGATTGATATTAGACTCATGATCTATACATTATTTTTTTAAATAAATTTATCAATAGACTAACCTCATAAAGATATCCTGGTATAAACATAACTAATGCTAGGAAATGAAAATATTTTCGTTTCGAATTTAAAGAATAAGTTTTACGTGTTTGCCCCATTTGGTTAAATAAAACAAGGGATATTGCAATTAAAACTATCCAAAATATACACAAAAATATTCGTACTCTTGTCTCAATAACAAATGCAAATATCCTAAAGTATTCAGATCAAAATCAAAGTTTTTTTTTTTTAATAATAATATAATTATAGATCAAAACGATAATTAGTTATATACCCTTACCATAAATAAGGATTTCTGCCTAAAAGACTTTGTACCCAAAGTCCAACTAAACCAACAATAATTACGCTAATAAGATAAATAACGAGAGCCATTCTTTTCTTCCCGTTATTATTATTACGAATATGGGCACGTTTACTTTTCCAAGACCGTTGCTGCGCTAAGTATCTCGAATGTATGAGAAATGGTGATGAAATCATTCCTATCAATAGCATACCAAGTACAAGAGCATTTTGAAAGGTAATTAAACTACTCGGTACATGATTTTCTAGAGGTGTAATCTTAAGCAACTTAAACTATCAATCAATTCAATTATTAGCAACATTCATTGTTTAAGAAGGAAAAAAATTAAAAAACAGAGATCATTGATATTACTAGAAACTTTTTTTTTTTTTGGTAGAAAAATTAATTAATTTTTGAATTACCTTATTAATTGTTATTACCCAAGCTTCAACAGCAACTAACGTTAATATTTGTGAAACAACTGCTAATTCACCGAAAGTAAAACTCTTTTTCATTAATCTTGCAATTGAATATAATGAAATTTGATAGAAAAGTTGTGAAAATATAATGTAATCCGAAGGTAATCCTTAAATAATCATAAATTATAAATTATACACAAATATTAATTATAATTCATTAATAAATTTCGTAAATCTAACAATGACTCACTTTGAATAAGTGGTAAGAATCCCATAGCTGCTATAAAAGCGGTGAATATTATCGATAATATTGTAATTATGGTTATAGCCCAAATTGTTCCCAAATTGGTTTTTATATGCTTGGACATAAACATATGAAATATAAGACCGCACCCCATAATGAAACAAAGCTCAAAATTAACCTGAACAACATCTATGTAAGGTAAAATAAAAGAAAGAAAAACATTATTTTGATTAACAAAATAATTAAAATGATATTATTGATGTGGTCACCATTTGTCCTGTCCTTAAAAATTCAAGAAATCAGCTTGCATACCCATAGAAGAGTCATTATATTCAGGAGTTGATGATGATGACTGTGATGAACGTTGAGTGTCTATTATTTTTGCCGCAGCTACAATTGGAATCAACAATGTACCATAAAATGCGCCATCATCGACATCATTTCTGTATTTTTTTTTTTTATTTTTAATAAACATATATATGCATATATTTAACAAAAAAAACAATAATTAAACCAGACCTATAAAGGTTCTCATCAGTTCCCCATAATCTATGAAAGAGTTTCTCCTTATTATTCGAAAACGGGAAACCGAATGAATATATAAACCAAGTCCACATAGAAAGCAACATCAAATCTAAATTATTTTGGTTTCACATTTTTTTGTAAAAAAAAAAGAGAAAAATTTTTTATTTTTATTAAAATAATATTGATTTTATTACATTTAACAATAATAATTTATTAATTAAATCAATCAATTCTATGCTAAATGTTAAAATTCATCAAATCTCACTACCTAGACCTTCAGTGCGTCCAACCTCATTAGCTGCCATTAATCCGACCAGTTTAAAACTGGCACATAATGCTGTAAACGATATGATGACGCGTTCCAATGTGCTAGCAGCGGTTGGAATAGGAGGCGGAGGAATATTGGACAATTTATAAGCTTCTGTTCTCGCAACTCCAATAGCCTCAACGTTATATTCCACCTCGCTCTCACTAGTGTTACTACTTCCTGCTGAAGAAAAGGAAAATAAATTCCTTTTTCTTGCAACAAGAAAGTTGCAATCTTGTTTTGGTGTAGAACTCAAGGCGGAAGAAGACGACGACGACGAAAAATCAAAAATCATGCGTTTTTTATCTGAAAAAAAAAAAGAAATAGCTTCTAGTTAAAGGGTATAATCAATAGATTAATTTTATAATTTATCTCCAAAATCTAATAATACAACGAAGAATATTTTGTAATAAAATAAAACTAGGTAACGAAAGAAATGAATGTGAAAATTTTAAAAAAAGAAATCCAGCAAAAATACAAAAATGTAAATGATTTGTGATTAGGATTAAACCTATATAGCATGAAATTCACGTTGTGCAAGTAATTGTGACACATAAAACAATTGATAACGGAAATGATCAACAAAATTTTAACAGAGAATCGTACAGTATGTGATCAAGACAATTATTTTATTCTTTGTTTATATGTTATGTTATTTCACAAGGAAAGACAGAGATCGACAGTGATTATGAAATAAACTTTTAACTTTTTTATAGAAAAGTCCACCCGACTGTATCACTAATTCAGTTCGATACCCATTATGCGAATTTTAACTTTATGCGCCATCGCGTCATTTAAGATGATCATAAAAACATCGGAAATTAATTTTGATAATATAAACAATATATTTTTGGCTTCTAATTTATAATTGAAATTCAAGAAATCATGATATTGGTAAGTGAAAAATACTAAATATACCTAAGGTTTTTTACAACGTCGCACAAAACCATCTGACTTTGATAATAATGTGATCATCAGATAAATATTCCATTGGATTTGCCGGAATTGTTTTAAATTGAATAATAAAATCACGGAACTGTAGATGCATAATTTAATAAATTTAAATTTATATTTAAAAATCAAAATTCTTTTTTTATATTTCTGATAATAATAAAAATAATTCCATCATTTTTTGATGCATTACCATCCCGTAAGAATTACTAAAAAAAAATGATGATAGCGTAAAAAAAAATTTATTAATATAAATAGTATTTGTTTACAAAAATAAATCTTTCTATATGTTATATCGGTAAAAGTATTATCTTCTTAAAGACTTGTAATAATAATAATTATTTCGATAAGGCTTACAAAATAAATAAATTAAGTAACAGGACTTACTTTTTTTCTATTCCTATGAAAACAGCAGTATATTAATGTTATTTATCTATTTATATTAATTGCTTCTACTGTATCAATTTTAAAAATATCATATATTTTTCTAACATCAATATCAAATTCCAAGGAATGAAATTGTGATTAAAAATAATGATTCTCGCGTTAATTAGTAATATATGTTTCTTTAAATTTACCATACATCCGATTTAAATCATTTAATGGTTCCAGAATCCATTTCCAAGACTTAAGTTATACGATATATATAAATATTACGTATACCGGAGTAATTATTTTGTTCGCCTTCTCTATAATTTGTTATCTCATCCAATTTTAATTGTTTCTTTGATAAGTAGTCTTTAAAGACACTAATACAAATAGAATATTTAGTATAAAGATAATCGAAATGAATGATATCACAAAACATTATAATCGGACTAAAATTTAAATAAGAAATGGCGTGACATGGATCGTCTAATAATCCAGTCAAAGAATGAATGGAAGCGCGAACCATAATGGATATGGTAAACTTATAAGATTAAAAATGGTAAAATAAATTTCAGAAATAATTGTAAAAATGAATAGAGAAATTTAAAGGCATTCGAAGCATTTTATGAATTAAAGAATTATTTTGCTTACATATAGGAGATGTAACTTTGTAATAACACAAAATACTTTTTTTTTTTCAAAATGTACCAATTTTTAAAAAAATTTCACCTTATAATGGTTCTTATTTTAATACAGTCGTTATACGACAATTTTTTAATTATTATAGAACAATCTGTTCCTGTTTTTTTAATAATAATATCAACACTATGAATTTAAATGTTTTTAATTCCATTTCAAATTTTAATATTATAACAATTTCCTTTTGAATGGACAAGTTTTTACATTAAACAATATATATCCGATAGGTATGCATTAGATTGCATTTAGCAAATTTGTTTCTTTAGTTGATTTGGATGTTCCGTATCAAATAGGAACTTATCGTGGCCGCAAATATTAAAAAAAAAATTTATTATTTTCGTATTTTTATTTGGAGCATCAAAAATAATATACCACGAGTACCATGGTAATAAAAAAAAATTTTTTTATTGTATTTTAATGTACGTAAAAAAATGAAAATTTGATCAATACAAGAGGTTCGTTTAATATGAAATTTTCCTTTTTACGAACTCACTTTCTTTTCTCTTTGCTTTAATTTTAAACATGGTTGAATTTTTTTTTGATAAGTAACTCATCAGATGAAACTAATCTATTCTTATCACACACCATTTTCATAAACTTTTTTTGAAACTTTTATTTTTTATTGATACACATCAATCGGTAACATACAGTATAAGCGCAATTCTACACGTGAAATATTAACGACACAAAATTATTATGTTAGTTGCCGCAAAAAACTTTCATATGTTGCTAAACAATATGAAAAATATTTCATTGATCGCTGTGAGACAATCTAATGTTAAAATAAAAGGCGAAATAGCATACTAATATCATTGAAATCTATTTATTTTAATATGATAAAATATTGATTTCGAATGTAACAAATGTGTCATGGTCTTTTTATCACGCAAAAATGCAGAAATTATAAAATTTTCACATAAACCATAACTTACACATGACTGTACAACAAAATACTTTCTAATTCACTCTTTCTATTATTCGTGTTCGTGTTCATTCTTGCTCTTCAGTTGGTAATGCTAAAAAACTAAAAAAAATATCGTTAGTATGGTTGGTACCAGAGGACCACACTACATAAAAAAAAGCCTCCAAGAAAAGTGAAGGTAGCAAAGCCACTTCAGTGTTCAAGAAGACAGGATTCTTTGCCCTTTATTAGTGTCGATAGATCTGCCATCCTGCCTTAGATCTTGCACAATAAAGAATAAAGGGACTAAAAAGTCCCTACTGTCATGGTCTTTGTAATACCAACGTAGGAGTGCGTAGGCTAACCCTCCTTCAGGAAAACCAGTTCCACCTCTTCCCCTTTCGGTCTTTTATTTGTCTGTAAGCTTGTTTATTAAAATTACCCTGCTTAGCGTGCTTACCTTACTAATATGCCGTGATTAATTAGTTTGTGTGGGCACCCTAATAAGATCACATAAGATTATATATGTCGCAAGAAATACTATTAACGTGGCGACATCTATCGTTTGCCAAGGATATTTAGCATGTTTTATATTCTTGTTGATAGAAATAATCTTGTAAAGTGAATTAAAAGCGTATCAATGGATGTTCTTGAGTAAGTAGTAAGAAGAATATTATGGTAAGAAGAAGGATATTATGATAAGAAGGATATTACGGTAAGAAGGATGCGCCGTTTAATCCTATTATCAAGTATATCTCATAAGAAAGGTATTCTGGTAAGATATTATGGTAAGAAGGTAAGAAGGATAAAAAAGAAAGAAAAGAAAGGGGGGAAATAAGGCCTTTTTATATATATTTTTGTTGTACAAACCAGATTTTCCCACGGGTTTGAAACTTGAAAACGCGAAAAATAGTCAATTTTCGCGTCTATTATAATCAGTTAAATAGTTAAATCAGATTTTCCCACAGACTTATGAGACTTATGCACACGAAAACGCGAAAAATAATCAATTTTCGCGTCTAGTTTTCGACTTTTCGCGCGTCTATTACGTCTATTAATAAATCTTAAGATCAGATTTTCCCACACAGTTTTGAAACTTTAAACTTCGATAACTTCGAGTCTTCGATACACACGAAAACGCGAAAAATAATCAGTTTTCGCGTCACAAACCTTAACTCAGATAATTATTACATAAATATAAGTGAACAGCCCTCGTGAGGCTATAAATATTCCCTATTGTTAAATTAGACTTATCTATTAGAGGTTATACCATAACTCCGATGGTTTAAAAGAGGTTGTTCAAGCCATCAAATCACAACCAGCCACATCAACTCCTTCTTTCCTAGCTACATTTAACTGGAGGTGATAAGATATTCAAAATTGTGTTGTGGAGGTTGTAATTTAAATATAAGTAAAAACAATTTAAATAGTCTTTTTAGACGTGAAATAATTAATTAACTTTGTAAACTATGAATACCAAACGCTGACGAATTAGAAAACGTTATGGCTGATTTTTATATGTGAAAACCAATTAATTTTTCTTGTATTAAACCTGCATCCGAAGTGAAGTTAAACGAGGACATTGTCTCTGTTTAATACTGCTGGATATTGGATTTATTAGGCTGGAAGGAAGGTTTTTGTTTGTATAAAAGAATGAACGAATAAATATATGAATATATAGGACCTTAGTATAATTTTATAGTTTATACAAAATTACAAATGTGCAAAAAAATAAAAAAAGCTTTTACTGTTAGAGATTTTTTGTTAAAAGAAAATTCTAATATACTTTATTAATTTCAGATTATACACATCGTATATTTAATGGCCTTATGAATATTTATTGTTTCTGCATTATGAAGTTCATATAGAAGAACTAGCACAAGTAAACAAATAATCCAGTAACATTTATTTCTTTAGTATACTTAAGAAAATCTAAAAGTACATGTAGCTTTTTGTTAGTGTGATATACACAGGCAGCCTCGACTCTTCCTTCTTTAGAAAAATCCGAAATTCGATTGAGTGGTATTTTTTTTTTATTTGTGGATTTGTGGCGTTAAAATAATTACTGAAATTTACGTATAATCGAATATATTATACTATAATAATCCGTTCCAGATCCAGCTCCGATATATCGTTTATCAAGAATTTAATATATATCTTGGAATATATAATAAGATTATACAGTATAATATTATTCCTCTATCAAATCAAAGGCCGAATATACTCATATTATAACATTATTCATTATCCCCTGAATTTTGTTCAGTTTATTGCTTAATCAGATTATTTTGGAATCTAAAATGATCGATAATCAACATGTTATTTATACCCATATTAAGACATGCAATATTTCCTTTATTGATAGACAATAACAGCTCATAAAATAAAAATCAGAATAATGTTAGCTAGGTATTATAATAATTTAAGCTGACTTAAAACTTTCAATGACTTTATAAAATGAAGTATACAATCTATTAATCTATTATCTATACCGGTTTTTCTTAGTAAATCCTCGATAATCTCTATATAATCAATATAATCAATAGGAAGTAGGTAGATTAATTAGATTATGCAAACAAGCCTTTTATCCTTAATTGTTTAAACAATTTCACAATTTCCAGATTTGTATAACAAGGAGTTGTTTTCAATCTAGAAAAAAAAAGTCATTTTACCTTTTCTCTCCTGTTCTTAAAAAATATTTCCAAAAAAAAAAAATTTAACGGGTGACTAAAAAATGTTTCAGTCTATCTTACAAAGTGGTCTACTAGGCGGCCTTCTAACATATTACGCTAGAAGCCAACAATTCTTTTCTGAAATTCCTCCGGTCTTTCCCGACTACTTTCCCGATAGAACTCTAATAAATTTCTTTATCTTTTCTTGGATTTCTCTGACAATTTTAATTGCCATTTCTGGAAAATTAACTCTCTTATTAAGCGCCCTTCTAACTTTTTACGCTCAAATCGATAACTTCTTCCCCAATATTCTCCCTGATTTCATTCCCGATAGAAATCTATTAAATTTCTTTATCGTTTCCTGGATATCGTTTTCATTTCTCAGATTCGTTTTCAAATGTTGTTGTTGCTGCTTTTCTTCCAACAATTCTTCCAACGATTCTATTGACTATCCTCTCGACTTTAATGGTAATTACGAATTGCTTATCGCACGAAACAATATCGCTCATCGCGCAGATTCATATAACCCGTATTCAAGACGATATAATCCGAGTAGCCAATATGGTACTAATGGAAGGTCAGCGAGGTGGAGTCACAACCGGTCAAGTCGGAATAATCATATTGTGAGGAATCATGACTATAGCTATGGACTGTAAGATATATTTTTTTTTTTATTTTATTCATCATAAATATATATATATATTTAAGAACCAAAAAGATATATATTTCTGAAGAACTTGCTCGTAGCTTAATCAGATAATATTTATTCATTACCAGTTAGACAAAATTTTAGAAACTGGACTAATTTTTTTTTCTCCTTTTTTTTTACAAACAGGCCCTATTAAACGGTTAGTTGAATATACAGTAGTTTACATGTAACATTTCAAAGGAAATTTTGTATTTTATTTTCTTTCTTATACGTATAATTTTTTTTATCCAAAAATAGATGACAATCAGAATTTATTGCATTATAATATTAGTTATCACTTTGTAAATGATGATGAATTGAAAGAAATTAATATAATTGATAGTGATCCGATTATGAATTACAGTATCATTCGTCAATAATAAAAATTATTTAACCTATAATCTTTAAATATATAAATGAATAAGATTTGTTGCATATGTTGTCGCCTAGTGATGGTTAGAAATTGGTTCAGTTCGCCGAATTTGATGCATAATATCCTTGTATGAGTTTGGTCTGTACTGGCGATTTAAGATACTATCTATCCTAAAACTGAGTACATCTTTTAAGCTGGTACTGTACGTTAATTTAACATTTGAATTAAAATTTTAATTAAATGATGCTACTCATATGTAAAAATTATTTCCAAGCATCTCGTCAATATGATTGGTTAATAATCAAGATAATGCATATCGATTGAAATAAAAATAAAGTTGGCGATCAATGCGTCTTATAAAAAACGATTATCCAAATAGTTTCCAAAACTTTATCGTTTCAGCGACAATATCTTATTACACAACTCTATCAAAACCTTTAAATAACAAAGAATGCAATAACATTAAAAATAATCATACAGTCAGACCTTCATATAATCACCCTCTATATAAGAACACCTCCTTAACCTACATATTATTTTTATTAATAAATTGACTCCTATATAGTCACGGCTCTATATAATCATTGGTTTTTTACTGAACCAATTAGGTGAATATATTATAAAGGTCTGACTTGTACTTTTTATAAATAAAATGTATTATATTATGAAAGTTGAATGATAATATTTTTAATGATGTTTTTTTTTTAGATCACATTTTTATAAATCTTTACTTTTTATTACTTTACTGTGTAATCAAGGTCAGTAAGTTTGAAACTTTAAAAAAAAACCATCTCATTTACATGCATTTACATGCATCTACATAAATACTTTTGTATAGTAGTTTTATTTCCATTGATTTATCGAATAATCCAATTGGCCAAAAAAAAAAAAAACAATCAATCGTGATTATCATATTAACCATCTTTAGATTTGAACTTTTGATTGGCTAAAAATTTTCATATTTCGATAAAGAAAGTAACCAAAAATATCGATCAAATGATTTCCCATTTTTTACATCTTCAATAAAGATTGAGATTGTATGAGTTAGAAGCCAAGTTACTTTAAAAAGATCAATTTTGAATAATTAATAAAAATTATGTAATGTTTTTAATGTTTAACAAAGTTGAAACGAGTTTTAAAATCAATTAAAATGAAACCTTTTGTTTTAAAAAAAAAAAAAAAAATCATCGATGTATCATCTTCTTTCTTGAGAGAAAGGATCTTTAGAAACGACTAACTCTATTAACAATATTTATCGTGCGCCACCAATTTTTTATATATATTTTATAATTTATAATTTATAATTTTGAATCACTTTGAATTTTTTTTGAAATCATTAATCAAAAAATATAAATATAAAAATTAGTAATTTTTAAAAAAAAAAAATATTTGAAATTATACCCATAAACATTAAACCGAAAAGACCAATAAGAATTTAAAAAAAAAATCGAATTAAAAAAAAAAGGATATTTTAAAACTGTGTAACAAAATCAAAAAAATAAATAAAAAGTATTTTTTTTTTTTTTATGGTATTTAATAATAATTGGGACTAACCATAATTTTATTTCAAAATTAATAATTTTAAAAAAGTTTAAGTTAAAAAAAAAAGAGTAAGTGTTTCAGACTTTCAACGAAAAAAAAAAAATTTATATATATGATTTTTTTTATTTTTGAAACTTCATTTTTAAAATGCAGGAGTTAATTAAAATGGTTTGATGATTTTATGTTCTAAACTTGATGAAAACACGAAAAATTCAACTGATTTTTATTTTATTTTTTTTTTTTAATGTAATTTTAAAAAAGATGCACTTTATGTAATTAAATATACAAAATTAATTAATTAATATAAGTAATAATATAAGTTATATAAAAAAAAAAGTAAATTGAATCGGTATCCTTTATCTATGATACTATGATATCAATCGGGCTATATGCGACATATAATGGTGACAAATATCAAAAATCCCAAATATTCACAAATATTCACAAATATTCACAAAATAACCGATATTTCTATATAAAATTATACTAATAAAAATTATAATAATAATATAATAAATTAGACACTTTACTCGTTAAATGCATCATTAGTAGAATCAAAATTATTAAATTGTTTAATTGAATCCATAATTTCATCTAAAACTCGACGGAGATTAGCTTTTCGTTTTTCTTTTTCTAATGCCATCCTTTTAATTGTAGGAGGATTGAATGATAAATCACGTTTGTTTTCATAAGTTTCTAAATCTTGTATTGGATACGTGAAATGTTTTACTGATAAATTTGAACCAGATGTAAAAACGTAATTAATTGCACTATATCCATCAATTCCAATCTCATTTTCATCAATATCTAAAGATTTTAATTTACGATTCGATTTTAAAGCTTCACTTAATGATAAAGCTCCTCGATCACCTATTGCATTTCCTTTGATAAATAATTTTTCTAATGTATCATTATCTTTCAATCCAGATAAACTAATACCAAGAGAAGGACCAAATCTTCTTTCAGAATCTCCATTTAAATGCAATTCTCTTATTGATTGATTTTCTCTAAAAACTTTTCCAATAACTTCACATGCTTTATTTACTGTCTTTGTAACTCTTGAAGCTATAGGAGCATTAAAATATGGGTAAGATAAATCCAAATATTTTATAACTGAATTTTCACAAAAAGTTTGTAAAAAATCATTAACCATTTCAAGATTTGAACCAAACATCGTATATCTTAATGAAAGCCAAGTTGGAGTCCAATTATTATTAATAGCATTACAAAGTTCTTTAAAACCTTGTAAAGTTCTAGTTATATGATTTCCTCCTGCCCAAACTCTTATTTTTTTACTATTTGGTGAAGTTGTAACATAAGATAATATTATGGCAATCATTTCACCACCAAGATTACAATCTTCTATATTAAAAAATCTTAATTTTGCAAATGCTGGTGATTGAATATATGCGTATAAAGCATTTATATGATTATGATCATTAAGTGAAACTCCACCTAAATTTAATGTTGTAAGTTGAGTATTACCTAAAGTTTCTATTGATATAACAGGAGTTATCATATGAATGAAAAATTTTGAACAATTACGTAAATTCAAAGATCTAAGTGATATAGTTTTTGATAAAAGTTCAGTCAAAATATTTGATTCTAAATCACACATATTATTTGATAAATTTAAAACTTCCAATTTACTTGGATCATTTGTATCTAAAGCATGTAAGATATATTCAATCGAATCATGAGTTAATTTACAATTTGAAATATCCAATTCTTTAATAGCAGATTTATGACCCGTTAAACCACTTGCTAAAGCTTGAGCACCTTCCCTTGTAATAGGATTATCACTTAATAATAAACATTCCAAACATGATTGACCTGACATAAAAGCTTGACCAATTATTGAAACAGTTTCACTAGTAATTCCACAAGATGTTAAATCTAATTTTACTAATCTAGGATTTGATAATAAAATATCATATAATACAGAACCAAGCATATTTCTACCTTTATGACGTTTAGGACCAGGTTGAATTTGAAGTTCAAAAAGGTTTATATCACGAAGAATTATTTCATGTAAAAGAGGATGATATATAAGAGAATTAAAAATTGTTACTAATTCCTGATTTGAATAAACATCATTATGACCAGATTTTGAATCCTTAGGGGGAAGTAAGATAAATCTAAAAGGTAAATTATTTACTTCTAATCCTAACATAACACTTTCAGATCCAAGTACATATTCAACATTAAAATTAATTCTTGATCTATTAACTTTATTAGCATGACATTGAGCTTCAATCATTCTATCAAATCCCATTAAAATTTCTGAAGTTTTATTACTTTCACGTTCAGGAGATAAAATCATTGATTGTAAATTTTTTGGAGTTTTTAATTTATAACCAGGATTTGGCCACCAATATGTTATAGAATCTATAGCCATACGAATTTCTAATATAATAGTTTCAGCAATGATTGAAGAAATTACTAAACTTCTTTTCATAGAATTTAAACTATTTTTAAATGTTAATTGAAAAGTATCAATAACTTTATTAGTAAAAATGTTTTTTAAACATAATAAAGGATATTGATATTTATGAAATTCAATTTCTTTTGAAAGAAATGAAGATTGTTTCTTATGATTATTATTATTAATAAAATTATTATCATTATTATCATCATCATTACCAATTAAATCGAATGGAATGAAATAAACATTATTTTTTCCTAAAATGAAAATTACCGGAAAATTTGTATCCTTAATAATGTCATTTTCAATTGAAGATTTTAATAAAACACGAAAACTGACAAGATTATTTTCATCATCATCAGCCAAATCATCCAATAATTTCAATTTTTTCATGAACCATTCACGTTGATTTAAAGTTAAATAAGGACCAACAGAATCAGCATTACGTATAGTTGATTTTAAAGTTATAAGCCATTGATGATGTAATTCAATATCAGGAGAAAGAATTGTAATATGATCATGATTTTTAGGACCCAATATATAATCAATTCTAATATGTTTTTCAGGAGAAGAAACTTCACGTACAGAATAAACTGTAGATAATGAAAGAACAATATTTTCTGATGGTAAATTTTTTGTTGATATGATGATGGAATTATAATCGATGTTGTCACGTGCCAGAGGAGGAGGAGAATTTACAAAGATTTTTGAAGCCTTTTCAATATTTTTAAAACCATAAAGCCATTTTTTTGTGAGGATAATAAAATTATTTGAAGATTTTTTAAAAGTATGAGAATCTAATTTTTTTACTTTAGACATGAATATGATTGTTTCATTATTTTCAGGAACGGGAATTTTTAATTCACTTAACATACGAACGTGTTTTGGACTACGAGAACGATTGAATTTTCCTTTTAAATTAAAAGACAAAAATTTGCTCAAAGAAGGAGCAGATTTATGAGAAGATACAGAATTTTTAGAAGAAGAATTAACCGAAGTTACAGTAGTTGTTACTATTGTAGTCGTCATTATACGTGATTTATAATCATTAACGTCATCATTTTGTGATACTATAGATAATGAATTGGTTGAATTTGTTGAATTGGTTGAATTGGAATCATTACTATCAGATTCATCAAATACAAGTTGAACCTTTTCATGGGTTTCTATCTGAGACCTTAATTTACTATTATTATCAACCCCATTTCCAATGCTATTATTAATAGAATCCACTTCTATCAAATCTACATTGTTATTTTGATAAATGGTTCCAACTCCAGCATATTGAGAATAATCTTCTAAACGTAATTGTGGTGAATATGACATTTTTTTTTTGTGTATATTTTTTTGAGAAATATTTACAAGGATTATTTATATATATACTCTATATATATATGTGTGTATTGTTATATGTATTGTGTGTATGTATATGTATATGTAAATGTTACTGTATATGTGTTATATGTAAATGTATATGTTAAAAAAAAAATATTTTTTTTTGGATTTTTTTTTTTTTTTCCCGACAGATAAAAAAATAACTTTATAAGGGGGAATTTTTTTTCACGCCCTGAGGCTTTAAAAAGGGAATAATTGAAAATGATGGAATTATTTGAATAGTTATTGATTTCTTAATTTGTTTATCCCGAAACAAAATAATGGGCGTGTGAAAATGTGAAAATGTGAAAATGTGAAAATGTGGATATGTTGTTTTTGTACGTGGGAGTTTTGAGATGAATTATTATTTTTTTCGATAAATATTAACAAATTTTCGATTTTTTTTTTTTTTTTTTTT